GTACTGGCTGAGCTTAAACGCAGTCCCACCTGCACTGCGCCTCGCTCTGAGCTGTGCTTTCTTCCTCGGGATCTCTCTCCGTGTAACCAGGGGACCCTCTATTAGAGCCCTTTAATTCCCCCTCCCCTCATTCCCCTCACTCCCCTCGCTACCCCCCCCCTTCCTTCAGTAGCAGCAGCAGCAACAGTAAACCGCCCAGCATGCTGCCCCTCATTCTCGCCGTCCTCACAACCCTCGCCCACGCCCAGCAGTACGGGTATCCGCCGCCCGTCAGGGGCCAGAAGGAACTCCGCACGCCGTACAACAAGGAGATTATCGTCCGCTACAAGAACCCGACATCGGAGATATGTGCAACGCAGAACCCGGACCAGAAGCAGTTCACGGGGCATATCCACATGCCGCCGGGAACGCTCGCGCCGGACGTGGTGCAGGACTATCCGATCAATTCGTTTTTTTGGTTTGTGGAGGCGAGGGAGAATCCGGAGAGCGCGCCGTTGACGATATGGTTGAATGGAGGGCCGGGTGAGTTTTTTGTGTTCTGTGAGGATGGTGGCTGGTGGGTGGGACGAGTGCTAATTGGTGTTTGGGAGACAGGGAGCTCGAGTATGGTGGGGATGTTTACGGAGTCGGGGCCGTGTACGGTGGTGGAGGCGGGGAGGGAGTCGATCCATACAGTGCCGAGGGAGTGGGGATGGGATCGTGCGAGTAATATGTTGTTTTTGGATCAGGTTGGTATTTCCAGACCCGTTATATATCCTCATGTGTATGAGTGATAGCTCATGATTTCCCCCAGCCAAACAAAGTTGGTTACTCCTACGACGTTCCTACAAACGGCACACTTCCGCTCGTCGACACGAGCGGTAACTACATAACGGGCACAGTCGCGCCCCCTGAGTTCCAAACCTACCAGGACCTTGGCTACACCGACGACGAGTTCGACACTCTCTATGGCGAGTTCTACGATAAAATTGCCCTCATTAACGGCACTTTCCCCACCAGCGGTGCCAACTCGACTGCTAATACTACTGCCATCGCCGCACGCACTGCCTGGCATTTTCTTCAGGCTTGGCTCACCAACTTTCCGCAGTACAATCCCAACAGCACGGGTATCAACCTGTTTGCCGAGAGCTACGGCGGCAAGTATGGGCCGTCGTTCTTTGAGTTCTTTGAGCAGCAGAACGAGGCTCGTGATAAAGGGGATCTGGATAAGGAGAGTACGGTTGAGCTGCATCTGGAGACGCTCGGGATCATCAACGGCTGCATTGATGCAAAGCTGCAGACGCCGAGTTATCCGATATATGCGAATGAGAATCCGTATGGGATTGAGGTTCTCAACGCGAGTGAGAGGGATCAACTCTTGGAAATGTTTCATGCCAATGGTGGGTGCGATAGTTTGATTGATGCGTGCAGGGAGAGCGTGAGTAAGTTTGATCCGATGAATAATGGAAACCACAAGGCGACAAATGATATTTGTCAAATGGCCGACAATGAGTGTAATATTCTTAGATATTACAGTTGGTATAATGACTCAAAGTGAGTTTTTTTTTCCTCTGTATATATTTACCTTTTTTTTCCTTGGAGACTGTGGGTACTAATGGGCGTGGACCGGTAGGAGTTATTATGATATCGCTAATAACTTGGAGGACCCCTTCCCGGGGTACTTTTATCTCGAGTACCTTAACAACGCCACCGTGCAGGAGGCCATTGGTGTCCCAATAAACTACACCCAGAGCCACGGGGGCGTCTACGAAGCATTTGACCAGAGTAAGTTTACATATCCCGCGCATCGATCATTGACCTCTTCTAACGGCCACTAAGCCGGCGACTTTGTCCGCGGCGGCCAAACCGAAGCCATCTCCTACCTCCTGGAGCGCAACGTCCGCGTCGCCCTCCTCTACGGCGACCGCGACTTCATCTGTAACTACATGGGCGGCGAGTCGGTCTCCTTGAACATCTCATACCCCGACAGTGATGCCTTCCGCGCCGCCGGCTACCAGGACGTCCGCATCAACTCCTCGTACGTCGGCGGGCAGGTGCGCCAGCACGGTAACTTCTCGTTCACACGTATCTACCAGGCCGGCCATCTCGTCCCGTCGTACCAGCCCGAGACGGCATTCGTGCTGTTTGAGCGCGCGATCCTGGGGCAGTCGCTCGCGACGGGAGAGACGATTAACACAGAGGGAAACAATATCTACTCGACCAGTGGCGACAGCGTGGCAGACGATAAACTGCAGGTTCCAGACCCATTCAAGCCCCAGTGCTTTGTGAGGAGTATCGCAACGTGCACGGTCGACCAGATACAGATGATTGCTGCGGCGCGGGGTGTTATTATTAATGGCGTGCTGTATAATAGCACCGATGAGTGGACGCCGCCGGCGACACCCTCAACTGGTGGTGGTTCGGGGTCGGGGAATTCGAGCGGCGGAGGGGCCGGTAGCGGGATACCAGATGCGGGTGTGGCGGTGAGGGCGTCGATGGGGGTTGTGGTTGGTGCGCTGGTGTTGGCGGTTATGGGCGGGCTGTAGTTGGGGCCGGCGGGGATTGATGGATGGATGGATGGGTGGGTGGATGGACTAATGTGGCTGAGGAGTGATTGATACACGGACTTTGCTTGATACCTCTTTGTCTAACTTTTCTTTTTTCTTTTTTCTTCCTTTTCTTTCTCTGTCCGCGTTTGTCGCTCCTGCCGGATGTAGTGTATACTGTGCTGTAGGTTATGAGTATACACCTAGGTCCTACGTAGGTTATCGCGCGGCTATCCGGCCATCGGGGGAGGTAGGGAGAGGGGGGGAGGGGTAAAATAAATAATAAAGATTTACCTCGTTTCCTTGTGACAATCGTTCCTTTCCTTCCTTTTTGTGATTTGCAATGTGATCTTGTGTCTTCTTCCCGTGTGGGTTGGTGGGGAATATTTCCCGTTTGTATTTTTTTGCATGATTGGCCGGCCCCGCCGGGTGAATGGGGTTAGGGTTCACAAGCGGTGGGTCAATGAGAGTGGTGCGGGTATTTCCGCGCGTCCGGACGTCGGTTGGGACGGCGGAAGGGTGGAGTGATGGAGTGGTGGAGTGGTGGAGGAAGGGCAGGGAAGAAAAAATATTCTCCGAGAGGTCGAGTGGGTTGTTCTTGTTTGTTGGGCATTTGTGGGGGGGGGGGGGGGGGTGTTTCTTTTGCGGGTTTGCTGTTAACGTTGGGGGTAGGCACTAGGGAGGGGATTGGAGGGGGAGGATTGGGGAGTGGGCATCATCATGATGAGAGACTTTGTCGTAATCATTATTGTAGTTAGCTAGCCAGAGACACAGAGAGAGAGTTGGCACTGTCAAGATGCTGTCTATGGTAGGTATTGGGTTAGGTGATCCTATTGACGGACTGTTGATGGTGATGGTTGGCTGGGTGGTGTTTGGCCGATTGGATGGTGCTTCCCTTCGCTCGGACAAAGCAAGTGGACACAGAAACCTGAGTTCTAAAGGCCAGGTCAGGTCAGGTCATGCCGCCTGAACGGACTGATGGACGGACGGCACCGGACGGCGATCTCAATCACTCACTCACACTGTCACTGAGTATTGAGCACGCACGGAGGGTCAGACTGTGATGGATGGGCCTGGCACGGTGGGTGTCTAACGGCCGGCCCGCATGTCGCTGTCTGGGCTGGACAGCAGGCTTGACTGGCCTGGGCAGCAGGTTGGACGGACTTGGAGAAGGTAGGGAGGCAAACAGGCTGAGACTGGGACTGAGACGGCGTGCGGGCTTACGTGCCTGGTTGGCCGTGTTTGCTAGATGGGAGGTCAAAACGTCCCCGCTTTGGGAGCTGTGCTTGGAGGCGGCCGAGTTTGGGAGGCGCCTGGTGGGTGGGTGGGGGGCGTGCTGTGGTGAGTGGTGAGGGAGTGGTCAGGGGGAGTGGGAGGGTGAGGGTGAGGGTGAGGGGGAGTGGGTGGGTGAGGGTGAGGGTGAGTGAGGGATCGGCGCGGCGGCCGAGTTGGCTAGTGGGTGGTGGTGGGCTGCTGTCAAAGTGGTGGAGTGTGGGAGGGGGAGAGATCGCCAGCGCAGTGATCCGCGCTGGACGCTTCACGCTCGTAAAGCGAGAGCTGATATAGGTAGCTATATACAAGCATTTTCCGGCCTTTGGCCGGAGTAGGAACTGTTATGGCTTAAACAATATCAGTTTACCAACGCTTAAGATCACTGAAACCCCAAGATGCCCTGTGCACATATCTGATATACTATTTGGTTGACTCAAGGTATGTTGGAACTAATATCTACTGGCTGACTCAAACATATTTGATAGAATATCTACTAACTCCAACATATTTGATAGAATATCTACTTACTGACAAACATATTTGATAGAGAAAAAGAAAACCCCTCAAACCTGGCCAATCAAAACCTTTAAATAACACATTGCATATCGGTATATCTATATACTTATTAGATTTGTAGCTGTGGTTGTGGTTGTGTTTGTATTAGTATAGCTGCACAGGCAGGCACAGGCAGGCGGGGGATCGGGGGGGGAGGGGCAGATGGAGATCGATCGATGGACGGGCCCCAGGGAACGGTTTTTTCCCCTCTTTTGATGCCGGTGTTGGCTGCTCTGGAGTGTTTCCTGTTTCTTGCTTGTGTGGTGCGGCTGGGGCGCTGCGGTTGGTGATATCTCATGACCCAGGGTTAGGGGACTGACAGATGCGGGTTTAGTAAGGAAGGAAGGAAGGAAGGAAGGAAGGAGTTGTGATAGGAAAGATGCGCTTTGGTTGGTGGCTGGTTGCTTGGTTGGTGCCAAGCGATCGCGGATCTGACTGACTGGCTGGACTGCAGGGCGCAAAGAAGGGCAAAGACAACGAAACTCAGGCAGCGGGCAGAGAGAGCGCAGAGCCAGTCGGTCAGTCAGTCAGTCAGTCAAACTCCCAACTCAATTGCATCCCCATCTCGAGCACCTCCATCCACCTTCTTCTTCGAATACCCTCACATCACATCACACCATACCATCCCACCACACCACAATCCCACCTATGGCAGCCCCAACGCCACCGCACCTCCGCTCGCTCTACCGCGCGCTGCTGCGCGAGCTGCCGCCCATCGCGGCCCGGCGCACGCCGCTGCACACCCGCCTGCGCGACTCGTTCCGCGCCTCGGGGCAAGGAGTGGACACGGTGGAGGCGGCGGAGCTGGTGCGCTATCTGAGGGCGCAGAGAATGTATGCGACGCTGCTGGAGAGGTATAATCCGAGCCTGAGGAGGGAGACGGAGGATAGAGTGAGGTTGAGCGCGAGGAGGGTGGGGCTGGAGATGCCGAGGGAGATGGCGGGGAGGGGGTAGTGGGTTGGTTGGTTGGTTGGGGGGGGGGGGGGGGGGGAGGAGGGGAAGGAGGGGTGAGGGAATAGTAGAGTAGTGAGTGGAGTGGATGTTGATGTTGATATGTTGACTATTGCTATTACTATCGCTATTACTAGATTGCAGATATGGCAATTGCTTCCTTCCTTCCTTCCTACCCACTCGACTGTCCGCGCTGGAGTGCAATTGAAATCAGATCAATTATCAATTCCCCACCAGTGCGCTGCGCGGCGTGCTATCTTTATCTCTCTCTCTCTCTCTCTCTCTCTCTGTCGTCGTCTGTGCGCCCTGCACTGCTGCATAGCATACAGCTGCCTCTCCAGGCCCAGCCCAAAAAACCGTTGGCGAAAATATGTACCCCGATCATTGTCCCTCATCCACTCTTCCACCCAGCAGCTGCATACTGCACCCAGCACGTCACCCAAGGCCCAGTAAGTACCAGTAGAGTAGAGGGGACAGGAGGTATATAGGTGTAGGGCTATAGCTAGCTAGGAGCCCTGCAGGAGGAGGGGTGAGTGAGTGAGTGAGTGAGTGAGTGGTAGGAGACCCTATCCCGTACCTACAATGGCCCGTGGAATATTCGCGCGCTTCATACGCGTAAGCAATCGCCTCACCACGGTTTCAGCATTATAGCTGGCTAGATAATTAATTCTCCGCCTTGATGTCAGCTTTTTTAAATTTTTGCCTTGTGCCTTGTTCGTTGCAACACCCCTCCACCTCCACTCAGTGCCCCTCCCCCGCTACATACCAATGCGTATCGATACGTCGGTTAGGGGGGCAGGGGGGGGGGGGGGGGGTAGGGGGAGAGGGGCAAGGAGAAATTAATTTCCGCACCCGGGTCGAGGGGGTGGTATGGTGGCTGTATAGTGATGTATTAGTATGTAGGAAGTGTAGTGTAAAGTGTAGAGTGGTGTATATTGGGGGACCAGGCCCCTGGTTTCGGGTGCGGTGACCTTTGTTTGATCTGCGGACGGGGTGTGCGATAGAGTGGCTGTGACCCGGAGCGCTTGCTGGTGGTGTCATGTGAGACAGCCGCAGCGGTGGTACGGGATGGTTCGGGACAGAGGAGGGCTTCTGGAAGTGTTTTGGGTTGCGTGTGGTGCACGTTGGGAGGCAGGTCATGGGTTATGTAAGTGGGAGGGGGAAATGATTGTTTGGGCGGGTATTTTATGTTACTACTACTCTACTACTACTACTACTACTACTACTACTACTACGGATAAACCGGCGCTTGATCATTACCAGCTATCTAACAAGCTACATATAGTTACACAGTAACTAACTAACTTCTACAACAATAAATAAATAAAACCAACAACAAGTACAATAATATACAATCCGATAAACCCAACTAACTCTCCTCAAACCCGCCCATCTCCACACCCTCATCACACCCACAAAACCCCTCCACAACGACCACCCCCCACCCATACCGCACGCCCTCAATCCCGCGCCGTAGCAGCGCCACGTCCGCATCGTACGCAACGTCCTCGCCCGCCTTGTACACGAAGCAGCGGTCGCCCCCTGCGTTGAGCAGATCTTCGGCGTCGGCGTGGAGCGCGGCGAGCGCGGCGCAGTGCGGGTGCGCGGACAGCGCGGCGGTGATGAGCGTGTAGAGGGTGGCGTGGAAGTCGTCTAGGAGCATGATGGCCGTGCGGTAGGCGGGGGTCTTCTTTGTGGGGCGGCGGTGGGTGGGGGTGGGGGGTTGTGGGGGCGGGGTGGGGGCCGTGGTGGGGGTGGAGAGTTCGTCGAAGAGGGTGGTCATGGTTGGGGAGTTGGATGTTTGGGTTTTTGGTTATTGGGTCAGTATAGTGGTAGTAATATTTGGTTGTTTTTATTGGTACTGACGACGATGTTTTGGTTGGCTGGTTTGGTTTGAAAAGAGGCCATGGGCGATTCGTTTTTATGGTGGGGGGTTTGCATTTCAAGATGGACATCTTGAAAGTTATTTTTGAGAATTATCGTGAACTTGAAATTGGTGGGTTGAAATCGTTTGGGGGGTGGTTCGTTGTGGTATTTGAAAAATGACTAGCGTAGTGAAAATTGTAATAAAACTCAATGTGGTTAGTGTGTGTTGTGTGTGTGTGATGTTACGGTTGAAAAATATTAAGATCTGAGATGCCAAGATCTAGGTTACAACTGCGATTGTTTGGGGAATTATTTTCGACTCGACTGGGAAGGGTGGTACTAGGCAAGTTTTGCTTGCGAAAACTAAATGGAGTTAGTGTATGTGGGTGGTTGTTACTATTGTTGCTGCTAATGTTGCTAATAATTCTACTATCTATATAGTACTACAATACAGTGTTTCTCAAAAATAAGAAGCTAAGCCGTTTTCGGAATTGGACAGGGGTTGGTGACAGGGGTGCAGAGGTGCGGTAACAATAGTATTTTTATGGGATGGGAACAGGTTGGGGAGGTAGGGTAACCAAAGAAAAAAAAACCCGGTTTTCAATCTAATATGTACTACGATAGAGCAGTTTCGCGCTCGGTTGAACCCTGACCCTGATATCTGCGTGGCAACCAATCCGCCCCACCAAATCGCCCGTGGTCAACCAACAGCGGCCAATGCCCAGTCAATCAAAACAAAATGTAGGAGTATTAAATTATATCTTAATAATTAAATTATATCTTAATAAATAAATGTGCTATCTACTATCTTCTATAGTGTACCTACTGGAATACACTTTAAGGGGTACTTTGGTACATGTATCTTTGGTGCGGTTCCCCGCTGGCACGCCGGCCCATAACCCTAACCCTGACCTCTGTGTGGCAACCAATCCGCCCCACCCAGGCCGGTCAACACCCGGATCAACACCCGGGCCTATTCAATTAAAACAAAATGTTGGAATACTATAAATAGGGACTGCCCCCCCCCATCCCACCATCTTTTAAAACAATTCTGATCAACGAAAAACAACAATGAATTCCATAATGTGCCGTAAATGCAAACGGGAGAAACCTCTTGAAGATTACGATCAGGATAATCAAGGACAACCACGTAAATCATGTCGTACATGTTTGGTATGTATTGCTGAATCTTTCCGGTTGACAGTTATACTTTGCTCTAACAAATTGTATAGCAACTAAAGAGAGAACGAAGAACAGCACATAGAGCCGCAAGATTAATGGAGGAAGAAAATAATATAGAGGTATTACGATTTTGGTTATTGAATATTTTTTCGGATGGTTTCTAACAGTAATCCAACTCCGTCCGGTTTTACCAGTTGCAGCCCCCTCTCCAATGGCATTTCTATCTTCCCGAACAAAATGGTCACTATTAATACTTGGGCGTATGACAATTGTTTGCCAATCATGCAAAGCTTTGCATTGGCTAAATGAACGTTCAAGCTGCACCGGGAGCTCAATTCAAACACCAATCTTTGAGAATTGTTGCAAGAAGGGAGACGTTGTACTTGAAATTCTTAAACCCCCTTCTGATTATCTGAAGTACCTGTTGGAATCTTTAGAAACTGTCCCAAGAAACTTCCGGAAACATATACGGGAATATAATTCAGCACTTACGTTTCCCTCAGTCAAATACAATACGGATACAAGAGTTGGTGCAAATGGCGGTGGTATAAGTTGCTTCCAAATTCATGGTGAATTATATCATCTTCAGGGACCATTGGTACCAGCAATCGGAGCAACTCCTTCCTTCGCCCAACTATATTTCTACGATCCAGAATATTCGGCCCAAGTACGACATGTGTAACGGGGACTATGGGCGTAGGAACTATGAAGCCAAGGAATACAACCGAGGCGAAGACGTGGACGTAGGAGGTTCGTGGACTATGGACTATGGACTATGGGGCCGAAGGGTACACCTAAGGCAAGAACGGGGACTGTGGACTATGGACTATGGATGGTTGTACCTGGTCTAGTATACCGGGTAAACCCTGTGACGTAGCGCGAACCAAATAGTATTCGTAACTGTGAAGTACAGAGGTTGCGTAAAGAAGAAAGAGAAAGAAAGAGAAACAAGAAATCACAAAACAATGCCCCCCTTATATATCCATACCCAGTGCTGACTCATACCCTCACATAACAGAAACAGAAAGAACATAATAGAAACCCGCTATACAAATCCCAACCACACTATATAACCTTTCCTCTTCGTACCCCAACACCTCGCATAACCAAACCACATGGCTGCCGTTACAGACCACTCCCTCCTCTACGGCCTACCTCCTGGTAGGCTTAGGCTTCCGTGGATATTGTTTGTGAAATCGTTTGACAATATCGGGCGAATGTTCGACATCCGACAATAGCTGCCACGAAGCTTCGTCATAACCGGCATACTTAACCAAGTATTCAAATCTTCCTCGACGATCCCTGGAATCCAAAATATCCTCGACTTCCCACTCCTCCTGTCCTTCAACTTCGACCGGCGGTGGTGGTAACTGTTGTTGTCCTGGTAGGGGATCAATGGCTTCCGGCGACAGTAATGAAACATGAAACACAGGATGGATCTTCATAGAACGGGGAAGTTCTAATTCGTAGGCGTAGGGATTGACAATTCGCTTAATGACATATGGCCCAATACGCTTCCAATCGAGTTTCTTCGAGGGTCGTTTGGTGAGGACATGGCGGGTCGATAGGAAAACTTTATCCCCCATACGATAGTGAGGCGCTGGAGTCCGACTTATATTGGCCGACTCTTCTTGAATCCTTTGCGCTCGGAACAATTCAGCCCGTAAAACGTCTAGTATATCCTTCATTTCTCGTGCAATGGTATTCGCTTGGTCTTCCGCTGTCGTCTTGCCATGTTCCAGAGGGCCGAAAGTCATTCTTGGATTCCTCCCTGAGTTGGCGTAAAATGGAGAGATTCTCGTCGTTTCCGAAGCATGATTATTTGTTGCAAACTCGGCCATTGGCAACCATCGTACCCAGTCGTCCTGTTGATAAGAAACATAACTCCGAAGGTATTGTTCCATCACAGCATTGATTCTTTCCGTTTGTCCATCCGTCTGGGGGTGAAATGCTGTAGAGAACTTTGGCGATATTTCCAAACGATCGCAAAGGGACCTCCAGAATTCCGCAACAAATTGTGTTCCTCGATCAGATACCATAGTTTCAGGGAGTCCATGTAATTTCCAAACATTATCGATATACAACCTCGCTACTTCCTTTGAGTCCGCCTCCTTTGTTGTTGGTATTAGGTGTCGCATCTTAGTTAACCTATCCACCACGACCAAGATTGCATTGTATCCATCGCTCTCCGGGAGGTCGGTAACAAAATCCATTGACACATCCGTCCATGGTCCATCGGGTATTGGCATCGGGCGGAGTACTCCATAGGGTGCATTGCGTAGTGCCTTGCTACGGGCACACACATTGCAATTCCGAACATACTGATCGATATACTTCCGCATTTGTGGCCAGTAATACTCTCGATTCAGGAGTTCCAAAGTCTTCGCTCTGCCTGGATGACCTGCCGATGGTTTGTCATGATACTCTTTTAGAAGTCTTAGCCGAAGGTCATTGTCGTCGGGTACATAGAGTGCGCCACGGTAAAGTAGCCGACCGTTGTTATCTTCCATACATTCGGCAAGCGAGATCTTATTCGAGTGACGGACGCCGTTCCGAAGCATCGCAAGTACTTTGTTCGGGAAACTGTCAACTTGGTAAGCATTTAAAAACAACTCTTCTACAGTGGACATTCCTTCAGCGGATTCATTTGAAAAAGAACCCGCGAACAAACTTAGCTTTGAATCCAAATTTTTTCGCTTCAAAACCACCTGGCTTTGATGCGTCAACCGTTCATCCCCCTCCTTAGGTAGGTCACTCGACCTCCTAGTCAATGCATCCGGCTTTGCCCCTTGTTTCCCTGGTCTAAATTGAATGACGAAATCGAAACGTGAAAGAAATTCCGACCAACGGGCTTGTCGACGGTTTAATAGCTTTGTTGACATGAAATATTCGAGGTTTCTATGATCGCTGAGGACTTCGATTGGGAACTGTGCCCCTTCCAAATGATGTCGCCATTCCTCAAAACATCGTACAATTGCCAGAAGTTCTTTGTCATAGATTTCATAGTTGCATTCCGCAGGGGAATGCTTCTTAGAGAAGAATGCGACTGGATGTAGAGTCCCTTCATCATCACGTTGAGATAAGATTCCTGCAGAGACATAATCTGACGCATCGGTTTCTACCACGATTCTTCGATCTGGATCAAAGTGCGCTAGGATTGGTGCCGTTGTAAACCTCTTTTTCAATGTTTGGAATGCTTCCTCCCTTCCATCTGTCCATTCAAATTTAACATTTTTCTTCGTTAAGGCTGTAAGCGGAGCAACAATTTTCGAATATCCCAAAATAAAACGCCGATAGAAATTCGCAAATCCCAGAAATACTTGAACATCATGAAGATTCTTTGGTGTGGACCACTCTAACACATCAACAACTTTCTTTGGATCCATTCTATTCCCATCCGGGGTGAGAATAAGGCCGAGATACTTCGTTTCCTGAACCATAAACTCACATTTCTCGGGTTTAAGGTGAACATGATTCTCATCAAGTACCTTTAGAACCTTCTGAACATGGTCCTTGTGTTCCGATAAGGTATCTGAATAGATCAGGATATCATCCAGATATGCCGTTACGAATTGATCAAGATAAGGTCGTAGAATATCATTGATCCAATATTGGAAGGTGGCCGGAGCGTTGGCTAATCCGAATGGCATTACTGTGTACTCGAAATGTCCATAACGAGTCCTGAACGCAGTCTTCCATTCATCTCCCTCGGCTACCCTGATCTGGTTATACCCCCAACGTAGGTCCAACTTGGTGTAATATTGTGCCCTCGAAAGCTTAGCCAAAGTTTCCTTTAACAGTGGTAACGGATATCGATTTTTAACAGTGATCGCATTTAAACCTCGATAGTCCACACAGAGTCGAAGAGTCCCATCACTTTTCTTTACGAACAGTATGGGTGCTCCCGCCGGTGATTCACTAGCCCTGATAAATCCCTTTGGTAGATTTTCATTAAGGTATTCCTGTAGCGCTTTTAATTCGATCTGGGACAGACCGTATATTGGTCCATATGGAGGTCGTTTACCTTCCTCCAATACGATCTCAATATCATGGGAGGGTCGATGTGGCGGCAGGACAGAAGCATCATATTCTTGGAACATGTGGAGACGATGGTGGAACTCCTGTGGTACTAGTTGCTTGACGTGGATAGCGGATGTATCAGCTGCTGAAACGACAACAGTATGATACTCGGGTAAGGGAATTGATACACCATGGACGGCAACTGCAGTTCCACTGAGTGAACAGTGTTTAAGACAGTCCCGAGAATCAAAAACAAGTAGATTATCCTTTGGCCGAATGGTGATATCGTGACGTCGCATCCACGGTATTCCCATCACGATCGGATAATGTCCCAACTTTGTAACGAAACATGAGGCAATTTCTCGGTGACCATGAATATCCAGCAAAACATCGACAATATGGGTAATTTCTCCTGACTGGATAGGTCTTCCATCCATAACATCTACCTGACGAGGTTTCCTAAGAGGGGTCATTACAAGATTGTTGTAACGTACGAAAGATTCATCGATAAAAGCATATCCTGATGCTCCAGTATCAATGAGAGCGTAGGTGGGAATAAAGGAGTCGGAATTCTGAGAGACCGAACAGGTAACAACAAGAGAGTCTTCGGACATCTTATCCTCAGACACAGCAGCAGCAGGGAGAACAGAAACAGGTGGCGGGGCTGGCCCCTTTGGTTTGCCATTTTTTACCAAAGGGGCTGACCTTTTAACGCCGGCTTTTGAGACACTTGTTCAATTGGCTTTTCTCGCCAATTGTCGATAGTTCGGGGATCTTTGGAGCGAGGAGCGAGGTAACGAGACTTAGCGGGAACATGGCGACGTAAGGGTTTAACTGTGGTGGCAGAAGCGGAGACATGGGAACGAAGGTCAGCGATGGTGGCATTGGCTTGGGCCTCCCAGGCCTTTGCAACAGAGATGATGTGAAGAATCTCATCTTCAGCATCAGCGAGGTTCTCGTCAGCAATGGCGAGACTTTCCTGATGTAGTGCCAGGCGATACCGAAGCTCCTCCTCTTCGGCCTTAGACTCCTCCAGCTCGATCTTCAAAGCAACAATAACCTCGTCGCGACCTCGGATGATCTCGGTAGAATCCTCCTGGTTATCGCACAAGGTTTGCCAAAAATCGGCAGCCTTTTCGTTGGCTGCTTCTAGTTCTGTGGTGAGGTTGATAATAACCTCTTCCTGGACCGTATCGATGACGGGTTCTGATGGCGTGGGGGTATCGAGAGGCTTAGTGAGAGCCTCCAAACACTCAGCAATGAGACCATGAGCCTCGGTAAGTTCTTCGCCGAAGTCTATATCGGCTGGGAGGGGACCGTAGGTGGTCAGAAATTCTGAAAGACGCTGTAACAGCGTATCCTGGGTGGTGTCGGACATAGTCGCGACCAGAGCTAAGCAAGGTGATGTTGTATCGGTTGGCTGTAGAGGACGCAACCTAAGTGTAACGGGGACTATGGGCGTAGGAACTATGAAGCCAAGGAATACAACCGAGGCGAAGACGTGGACGTAGGAGGTTCGTGGACTATGGACTATGGACTATGGGGCCGAAGGGTACACCTAAGGCAAGAACGGGGACTGTGGACTATGGACTATGGATGGTTGTACCTGGTCTAGTATACCGGGTAAACCCTGTGACGTAGCGCGAACCAAATAGTATTCGTAACTGTGAAGTACAGAGGTTGCGTAAAGAAGAAAGAGAAAGAAAGAGAAACAAGAAATCACAAAACAATGCCCCCCTTATATATCCATACCCAGTGCTGACTCATACCCTCACATAACAGAAACAGAAAGAACATAATAGAAACCCGCTATACAAATCCCAACCACACTATATAACCTTTCCTCTTCGTACCCCAACACCTCGCATAACCAAACCACATGGCTGCCGTTACAACATGCAACACATCCAACTTTAGATATTATGGTACTTCAACGTCTCACCATGGAGTTAAATTCAATAAATCCGTTTATTGAATTTTATAAAACAGCAAAAGAAAGATTGGATAATGCTTCAACACAAGATGGGAATGCACGCGTCATACTTAATCCACGTCTTCAATTGATAGTTGAAACAGGAGCAGATAAACAACGAAACAACTTACCTACAAGTAACGAGGTGGCGGTAATAATTCCCGATGCATATGAAGAAGCTGGATTCCGTGATATCGTATTAGCATATAGAAATCCATTGCCAAATCAAATGTTCAGTATCATCAATCCTAACCATGCTGCGTATATGCCATTGCATTACGTATTGCTTTTTCCAAATGGGGATACCGGTTGACATTGGAGTTTACAACTTCGAGATCGATTGAATAATCGGAAAGTATTGCGTTTAGGTCAACGTGAATTTTATCGGTATGTTTAATATATTATCATAGAAATCATTACTAACTTATTACAAAGCTATCGTATTCATTCACGTTCAACTGAGCCTTTAACACTATTTCAATCTCAAAAGCTTTTTCAGCAATATTTGGTTGACGTATGGGCTGTATGTGATCAGAACAAACTAAATTGGATACGTTTGAATCAATCAAGACTCCGATCCGATTTGTATAATGGCCTGGCCGATGCTATGCTTCAAGAAGACTTCAATCCAGAACAAACCGGACGGAGAATACTACTTCCTAGCAGCTATAGCGGTGGTGATCGTTATATGCAACAATTATACCAGGATTCAATGGCTATCGTAAGACACTTCGGAAGACCTTCACTTTTCATCACATTTACAGCGAATCCTAAATGGTCGGAAATCGTTCCAGAGTTACTTCCAGGTCAAACAGCTGTCGATCGTCCAGATTTAGTTGCGAGAGTTTTTCATCTCAAACAACAAAAGCTTTTGCAGGAAATTAAACATAATCATATTTTTGGACGTTACCTCGGATGTGTCTGGACTATTGAATATCAGAAACGTGGTTTACCACATATGCATCTTCTATTATTTTTACACCCTGAGGACAGATTCATGACTTCTGAACGTATTGACCAGATTGTATGTGCTGAATTGCCGGATCCTCAATTTGATCCCGATGGTGAACTCACAGTTGTTATCAAATCATGTATGGTGCATGGCCTATGTGGAGAATTGGCATTCGATTCACCATGTATGATCTCGAAAACACCTGATGCACCTCGACTTTGCACCAAACGGTATCCTAAACAATTTCAGAATGAAACTGTTTTACAAGAAGATGGATACCCATTATATCGACGTCGTAATGATGGTAACAACTTTATGGTTCTTAAACCACTACACTAGGTAGCAATAGCTATGCAATATAATTCCGGAAGTTTATGTTAAAGCAAACTCCATTAAATTACACATACTTTCAGCTCACTGGCACTGGCATCGGTACTGTAAAAACCGGACTCACCACACCCACCCGCCCTTCCCAAAATTTGGTCACATTCAAGCTCACACTTCGCCCTGGCGAGGTGGCCAACTGCTAGTTACCACTGTACTACTAATAATAATATTATTACTATTTTGATTACAACCACCACTACTACCACTGTGCTGGGACTTCAGTAGTAGTACATGTAGTTTGACTGATGTGAGTAATTTAAACGTCTCGCTGCAGTGGAGGACAACTATACTTTTACACTAAGAGGTTGGTTAAACCTTGCGCTGGAGGACACTGTTCTCCACGCCAAAGGGTATATAAGTAAAGCCACTCTCCCAATCATCATTCCGCATCCACATACCACAACTTTCGCCACCGCTAAAACGTGTCCTATTGACACTTTTGACAGTCTTCCATTCCCCGCTCCAACCACGAAAAAATGTCGGAATGTCACGATTACATGCCCGTGACCGGATCCGTTGTGCTACGACAGCAGTGGCTGAGTGGGGGGAATCTTGGTGTGTGACATTCTGGACCTGTTTTTTTTTTTTTTTTTTACAGTTTAAATCTATAGATCTAACCACGTGTCAAAGATTTCGAAAAAAAAAAAAGACCAAGACCAGATCTCGAGAGATGAGAAACGGCTTTCTGCTCGCCAGCGTTACACAATCACAGCATATCACTCGCACCTTCCAACCAATCAACCTACTCGTCCAATAACTTCAGCTGGGGGATGCGGGTCACTCGAACGAACACGCAGGTAGTGATACATGCATGCAATAGACATCGATCCATCCATCCAACATGACGATCCGATTCCGGAACAATCAACCACGTAGGCAACGCTTATTAGAGGGGCCTGCCGACGCCTGGATCAAATCATATGGTGGAGTACGTACCTGTTCGGGGGAGGAAGTGAAAAAAATCTAGGAAACCGCACCTTGGAAAAAAAATTTTGGATGCGATGATTCATGGAACTGGGATTTGGAATTTTCTTTATGAAGCTTCTAGAATCTGGGAAGGAACTGAACAGGATTTTGAAAAGGATCCTCGCTCAACAGCACAGAGTGTCTAGAATATAGTGGGCGGATAGGGTAGGGTAAAACCGGAGTGACATGTGAAGGTTCGACCAGGAAGGGAAGGGGGGAACGATAAATGTCACGGTCACATCCATGGGGGGAGAGGGGAAAGAACGCTGAGGATCTGGGCAATTCTTATATTCCTCCCCCCACTCACATACGCCCCCCCGCGTTTGCATTCTACCGCACCAATGTGTGCATCTCTTCTCGTATCCGGTCCAGTCTTCGCATAAATATACTTTCAAGCGAGAAGGATACATACATGTACCGTCGTTCACGGGGTATTGGCGGATACTGGGTGATGGCGGACAGGGCAAAAAAGAGACAGCCAAGCCAACTTTTACCTGCAATTCGCCAATACCCAGTATCCACCAATACCCCGTGAACGACAGTATGCTTAATTCCCTCATCCGCTGCATTTTTTTTCGAGCACTTGGACCCCCCAACCAACGGGCCGGATTGATTCCAAAGTCGACATTGGTACCTACATATATCGCCATCAACCTCTTATCGACCGTTTGCCCCCCCACAAACCGAGTAGAGCACACGGCCAGTTATAATTATCTCATCACGATCCGTGTACCATTAACCACGTTGCAATTGCAATTGAGAGCAGCAACCCACTAACATAACACAGCAGCTAACTAATTAAGAGACTTCCCTCCATCACGATTGAGTATCCCATACCATACCATACCACACACCAGTCCTCCTCTTCGATCCTGGGCACCAAGCGCTACTATCCCCCCGCCCCCCTGTACGACGTACCCCAGACGGATACGGTAGGGAGAACCTAGCAATTGTAGCAATTCGTCTCAAACTCCGCCCCCCCGCGAGCACCTCCTGTGCGATTGGGATAAGGATTGTGCGTTTTGTGCCAACTTTTTTCCTCACTCTCAATGCCCCCCACCAAGAAGAGTCAAGGGTTAGGTGAGGGGGAGCAGTAAGGTGAGGGATTCTTGTAGGCGGGTGCGAATATCAACGGCATGCAACTCAATTCTTGGTGCAAAGGGAAGAAAACTCCTCGGACCAGCCGGGGGGGGCTGAGCTAGCTAGGTTACCTACATGTACAAGGAAGTTAGTAACGGGCTTGAAACATACGGGCTTTTTTTCTTGCTCAATTGATATGATATACTCCTCCGACGGTAGCAGTAACAAGGCACCACATGTTTCCACTAAGAAGCTCGAGTCACAAAAGTTTTCAAGTGCTGTAAAAAACAAAAAGTGATATATGTAATAAGTTATTTTTTTGGTTGCATTTGGGAGGGTTCGTATCCTCAAATGTTCTCGTTTCCATACTGTACATAAAAAAGCGTAACAAAAAAAAAACATAAGAAAAAGATAGTAAAAAGAACGTCGACAGCTGCAAAAAACCAAAAACCGCAAAGCAAAAAATGGTACAGAAAAAAAAAAACCATATAAAAAAAGTCCCCCCGGAAGCCAAAAAAAACATAATAGCCATGATATCATCAAGTCAAAAAAATATAGGGAGGACATCAAAAAAAAAAAAAAAAAAGCAGGCGCAATATGTACCGTGCGCGAAAAAAAAAAAAAACAGACCCAACGCCCACCCCACCCTGTCCCCCAGTTCGTCCCCCCCAGAGCGTGCCCTTTTTCGGTCCGACATAAGAAAGAGAAAAAAGTACCGTTACAAGCTGTATCCTGTATCCATAGATAGGGCCCCCAAAACATAAAAAGAGAAAGCTAGAAGCCAGAAAGAAGACAGCAAAATTAGCACGGGACCCCCATGGCCCCGCGTTCTATGCCCGCCCCGGTATATAAAAAGAGAAAAGCAATAGAGAAAAAAAGGGCACTAAAAGCTATAAATGAGAAATAATAAGAGAAGAAATAGAAAAGAAAAAAACCCACACGCCCCAAAAACCCAAACCCCAAAAAAGGAACTCATTCAACTCATAGATACTCCCTCCCCACCGCCGCAGCCCCGGTAGTCCGTCCCCGACTCCGACTCCGGCTCCCCGCGGGGCTCGCGCCCGCCAAGAACCTCGAGATCGTCGCCGACACCACCCCGCCGCGACTGCGCTTCTCCCTCACCACGCCGCTGACAGCACCCTTCTTCTCCTCGCGGCCGCGGCGCCCCGCGCACGAGCTGTCGACGCTGGACACACTGCCGCTGCGCGCGAGCGTGGGGATGACGGCCGACGACGGCGCCGTCGACGGCGGCGTAGGGTAGAAGTAGTCCGAGACCGCGAGCTTCGCGCTGCCGGCGTCCGACGCGGCCGCGCTGTCGACGCTGCGGTCCGATGCGCGCGAGCTGCGGCCGGAGCTGGGCGGCGTGGCGCAGTCGTAGTAGTAGTACTCTGTGTGCTGTGCCTCGTGCTCGGCGATGATGGGGGTGAGGAAGGGCTCGAGGTGCTCGTAGAGGTCCTCGTTCGTGATGCGCAGGTCCCAGTCGAGCAGGAAGAGCATCTGCTTCTCCATGAGGTTTACTTCGGTCAGCGAGAAGCCGAAGGCCTCGAAGCCGCGGACGGCGCTGTAGCGCGCCCAGTGCTTGTTCTTGGGCGAGGAGTCGTTGAGGTTCTTGGCGGCGAGGATGAGCGAGGCGAGGAAGATGCGGTGCACGGTGCAGCGCATGCCCTTTGCGACGGAGGGGAGGCGCCGCTGTAGCCGTGCGAGGTAGACGAGCGAGGACATGAGCGTGGGCACTTGCACGTGGCTGCGGTCGACGAGGGAGGTGATGAATTGCTCGAGGGTGGGGAGCGGGGGGGAGTTTGATGGGGTGCTGGGGGGTGTGGGGAGGGTGGTGGTGCTGGGGGGTTCGCAGCGGATGACGGTGCTGGCGGTGAGCGCGAGGTGCGAGATCATGGCGGGGGTGACGGGCATGCGGACGAAGGACTCGAGCGCGGCCTTGCGGGTTAGGGTTGCGGGCAGCATTGTGGTGGTTGTGTGTGTGGTGGTGGTGGTGGTGGTGTGTGTGGTGGTAGTCGGTAGTCGGAGACTCTTATGACGAGGGCGGACTAGGTATTAGATACTATTGAGTATATGTATTTGTATATTGAAGTAGTGTAGTAGTAGAAGAAGCTTGTGTTGGGATGATATGTAATAGTATATAAAGCCCGCGCGTATATATTTATATGATATAAACTCTTTTTCGACAGCCCCCAAAATGCAAATGCAGATTTCAAAAAGCCCCAGAGTAAAAACAAATCCCAAATGAAATACGATCTCTCTTGCAAACTGACTGTGTCGCTATCAAAGTGACAACAAGGCAGCGAGGAAGTGGGTGGAGGGAGGAGCAGGCTGTAATATATATATTATAATAGCTGGCCCTTTTTGTATGTATGTAATCCAATGGTGAGGCGCAGTGATTGATTGGGTGTGTGTGAGTGTGGTTTGCGTGTGAGTGAGTGTGGTTTGCGTGTGAGTGAGTGGTCTCGGACCGGTGGTTGTGGTTGTGGTATTTCAAGTGTAGATTCTTTTTTAAACAGCCCTTTTTATGTAGGAGGGTGGTTGAGGATGGCGTTTATCGTTGGTGGTCGTGGGGAATGTTAGAAATTATATGTAGTATTGTGAATGGCGTCGGAGGATGGAGGATGGAGGATGGATGGATGGGTGATGGATGATGAAGCACAGCCTGGGAGAGTGAGCAGAAAAAAAAAGTCTGGGGGTGGGCGGGCGGCTGGTGCTTTTAAGATCAATCGCTTCACTCCAGGCAGGGGTAGCTTGGGGGGGGGGGGATGTCTTGAATGTATGTGGTGGGAGTGTGGGTGTGGGTGTGAGAGGTGGGAGGAGGAGGAGCAAGAGGAGAGGAGGATTGCTGGATAGGTTGTGAGGATGGGAGAGGCTGTCTGTGTCTGTCTGTCTGTCTGTCTGTCGCTACCAGTGACAATGCTACTCGATGGAAACACTGGATGGACCCAGGTCACGGTTCTGCTGCTTGACGCGACACGCCCGCACCCCAAAACAGAAACAAATCACACCTGGGGAGATCCTATGTTGGGATGTACGTCCCGCCGCAAGGGGTGCACCGGTGGAGGGAGGGTGGGAGTGGGCGTGTGTGTGGGAGTGTGGGAGGATGGGAGGATGGGAGGGTGGTAGGGGAGAGTGTGCGAGGAGCGTATGGATGGGATGGGTGGGTGCCAGGGCACGTTCCAGTCAGTCAGTCAGTCAGTCAAACGCCAAGCAGGGGATGGGTCGAGCAGATCGGTAGAGAGGCAGGCAGGAAGGCAGGCAGCACAGGCAGAGCAGAAAGAGAGAGGAAGGGAAAAAAAAGTCCACACTCCTTCACACACGCTCACTCACTCACAAGAGTCAACCAAGAAAAAAAAGGAGTGGCTCTTCCTTCTTTCTTTCTTGTTTCCCCCCCCCAATGCACGCCGCCAAAAGCAGGGCGAGTGCAATGGCAATGGCCAGCACAGCGGACGCAGTGTCGTTCTTTCGGCTTAGTTCACTGGGGCTGTTTCTCAATTACGATAGAGCCGTAACTTAACTTGCAACCTTACCAGGGTAGCAGGTCTTCAGTGCAGCACGCAAGCAAGCTCTAGGTAAATGTAGGTTTTCTCTAGCTCAGTTGCTCTAGGTACTAGCTGTAGGTAGGTACTCACGTACTCACTCGACTCCATCAATCGTCATCAATGCCATGGCATGGATGAATGAGATGTTCTCAATTGCGAGCTCTGGTCTGGTCTGTGTCCATGTCTAGTCTGCCCTACCCATGATCCATCCATCAATCCATCCAGCTGGGCAGACAGACAGACGGACAAGACAGAACAGACAGATAGACTTGATCTACACGTACCTCACCCCAAAAGCAAAACGTCCCCCAAAAAAAGCCGCGCTCAAAAGGAAAAAAAAAAAAAAATCCACCATAAACAACGCGGTCACCCCCATCTCCAATCAACCCTCCCCCGACACCCCAGAAACAAAAGAGTGACGGACGTGTTGCGAATCCGAATCGACACTGACTCCCCACCTAAAGTCTCCGTCCGGAAGGGCTGAATTTAGTTCCCGCCTGCTAGCGTACCCTACCCCTACCCCTACCCCTACCCTACATGTACCCTAGCCTATGTGTAACCCTGAGCACTAGACGAACTAGCCACACCTATCTAGGCATGGCGCGCCGCTGGACCCCGACACTATTTCCGGGTGTGATTGGGTTTCATCTAGCTCTCTCTCTCTCTGCTCTCCTCTGCTACCCTACCCTCTTGTTTGGCTGCTGCACTTCACGCGCGCTTGAGGTCCCCCCCCGGGAGGATGAGGAGGAAGGAGGATAAATTAGTTGCACTTTATTTTTATGTTTTTTTTACCACTTTCGGTCAAAAGCAGACCATTGGTAAAGCTTAGGTACCGTCCCACAACGTACCGGATCGCTACCGAGCGCTACCTGCCCTTCGTACCTTAACCTGCTGCTTACACATGTACCGTGGCCGTACCTGTGCTTTACCTAATTAACTGCAGCCTGAAGAATTAAATCTGGCGTAGGAGCAGGCAGGTAGGGGGGGGGGGCCTCTAATTCTAATTTAGTTCCGGATCGCTGGTAGCGAGGGAGAGTGGCGACAAGAATGGGCGTGAGGAAACGATGCATGGGAATGTTTTTATAGATTTTGTGTTCGTGATCGTGCTGGACTTGGATCACCCCCCTTAGCTTGCCCGAGGTTTTCCTCAGAGCATTGAGACCTGATATGATCTGAAGAGAAGAGCTAGAGGCACAGTTCAAGCGGGTACTGGGGGATAGCCGGAAAATAGATCTCTGCTCAATTATTCACTGCGCGTGCGATCTACTGGCTCTACTCATGACCACACGCCCCCCCCCCCCCCCCCTTTGCAATGATCACAGAGAGTCTATATCATGCAGAAGAGTAGAGTAATGGCACTATAAGCATTCCCGTGATGCAATTGCAAGGCCAAAAGTGCAATATATATCGATATGTTTCCCTTCGAGTAATTAAATCTAGGTTGCAGTTGCTTCTTGCACAATTGGGCCAAAAAAAAGAAAAGACAAAAGAAGCGACAAAAGAAAAAAAAGATCTCGGCCCTCCAATTGCGCACGGGGGAGTAGAGTAAGTAATTACCCCACATATCAACTGCCTCACCTCACCTCACCTCACGCCCACTCTGCGTTGCTCTGTCTGTCAGTGCTATCCGGGTGGTGGCACGAAAAAACAAAATAGCTACTGTACATAAGCAGCAGAGTAAGAAACAAGAATTAAGTTCATGCTAGACGGTAGGTAAGGGCACGCGTGCGGTTATTGTAACTATTGCAACTGTTTTACATACGATACGACCGTCGAGGCCGCAAATAAACTTGTCACATATCTCTCTCGCGGCAGCTGGCGAATGGCGGAGCGACAGCAACAGCATTGAAAAACAACTTGCTCCGCCACGCCGCTCTTTCTACCAGGGATTTGGGGGGGGGGGATAACTTACAGCTAGAGGGCGTAACGTAAAATAGATTGCCAGCTCCATCCGCCCTACTTTTCCACTTTACCAGAGAATGCCGCCGCAACCCGACGACGTGCATAGATTTTCCACTATGCATGGATGGATGTCAGGGTAGGGCGCGCGAAAGACAACAGCGACTTTATTCGTTTTGGCGTCGACCGACCGGCGGACCGACCGAAGTTAACGACGGCATGTTGCGGGGTCGATGTGGGCCTACATAATACTTACATATGTAGAGCAGTGCACAAGTGGGAGGAAAAAGGAAGCGGAGCTCGTGGAGGAGGAGGGGTAAAAAGAAATTAAAGGCACTGTGGAGAGCTTGTAAACTTACCTGCCTGATGTCAACGTCGTCGATAGAGTAGACAGACTCTTCTAGCTACTGTAGCACCGATGATGACGTCTCGAGAAGGGAAAAATAAAGCTTCTGCAGGGATTCACAAGGGTGCGTACTCTAACTCTTGAGTCTTAATTCTTCTGCGCTTGTTGTGTTGCCTCGCTCGCTCGGGTCCAGAACGTAGTAAGCACTCGGGGAGCAGCACAGGCAAGCCACAAACATGACGACGGTGACAATGACCAAAGCGCCCGCACGCACGGCCACAGCTAGCGCCACCACCCCGCCATGTCTGACCTACTACGACTACGACTACGACTAGTACGCACCCCACCACCACATCAGCACCCACGACGACAAACAAAAAAAGCACTGCAGCGCCGAAATTAAGAGTATCTAGATACGGGTATTTGAAATCAAGACTACGTGTATGATCTAATGTAGCTACGTTGTTTTTACTCTGGTTGTTGTCGTTGTGACTTGCTCCACCGGGGGGGAGTAGGCCCGGATCTAGGTACAGCAGACCGGAGATCTAATCTCCCCCGACCCGATTAACACCGTCGGCAGATCATTGTGCTTCTTCTACTTTCTTTTTGACTCTTTTGACTCTTTGAGATTCGTTACTCTCTCTCCCCCTCCCTCCTCCGGTAAGTGGAGATACGTCTAGAAGAAGACAGACAGCACAACGAAGCATGAATGAAACATACAAAAACGAGATTGCGTTTGTGACTTCAGGCAGTGCACACCCCCGTTCATGGGCTTCAAGAACGTTTGAGGAAAAGAATTTTAATTAATGACCCGTGGGGGATTGGGGTGGGGGATGGTTTTCCATGAGTCCACGAGCTGGCCATGATGGGGCCTTACGTCGATCTGTCATGTCCGGATCCCATTATCACATTATCATTGCCCATGATGATGGCTCCGTTTACAATCCACTCTTGCTCCTGGATTTGGATATGCTCATTTCATTTCGTTTATTATAATTATTAGATATATATATATATATATTCGGTGGAGCGCGGTGGTTATTAGAAAACGCCCAATCCAATCATTGATTCTAAGAATTTTTTTTTTTTTTTTTGCGCATCCTTACCTCGCTGCTGATCGCTGATCAATCGCGGGGTTTAGTATCCCCCATCTGATCTGCTCATTTCGTTTCATCCCTCTCCCATCCATCGCGTCTGTTTCCCACTGGCATCACCCCCCAGTACCCAATCAGGGCGCAGAGACAGCTGTCTACCATTCTGAATTCAGCTCTCGTTGGATCCCCTAGCTAGCCTGCCACTTCCGCACTAGTCCCCAATTTCACTACATTACCATACCGCTTCTCGCCCATTTCACCACTTTGGGAAAAATAAGGTTATCAAGAAAGAAGGGAGCGTGTAAAATAGCTGAAAAAGGGTTTCCTAATTAGAACGCGGCGGCCCAATCAGAGAAGCGCGTCCCCTTTTGCTACCGTAAATAGTAGTGGGGCCTACGGCTGGATTGGGAGTGGGTTGTGCGGTGGCTTAATGAAACGAACCGGATGCGCCACTGACGCAACGCGTTCTACAGCTCTCCGCCCACTCACCACTCAAGCTTCATCCTTCTTCACGACACCACCCCCTCGTGTTCCTCTTCTCCGCCGAGGGGTGGCTTGTGTCTATCCCAGTAATGTAATTTAATTTATTTTTCCAGAAAATAAAAAAAAATCCAAAGCTGAAAAATAAAAAAGAGGTTTTTTTTTTTTTTCCCCGGCGGCTGTGCTCTGCTGGGTCCAAGGTGCTTACACTACCACCTATCCTAACTCATCGACTCCTTCATCGCCCTTCCCTATTCTCGCCTTCTCAGCCGATAGGAGGAGTGGCTTGATAGGAGCGGAAGGAACCTTAAATTCTCGCTGCCTCAGCGGCAAACGCAGGGGTGGTCAGGTATGAGTGGATGGTGAGTGGAGGGGAGAGAGCGTACCTGATGATCAAACGGCCGGGCTTGGGCCTCATCTCTAGCTGGCTAACTGACTGGCCTGACTGGGTAGATGGGCTAGCTAAGCTAGATGGCTGTGTAGATCACTGATGATGGATGAGGTGACAAACGGATGGCGAATTTTTTTTTATTTGTTTTTGTTTTGAATTTTATTTGTAAAAGGGAGAATGCCTGCGGTGCTGCTGCTGCGAAGAAGAAGAAGGCTGGAGCTAGCAGCTACTCATGACTGAGAAAATTAATTAGGAAATGTTAACCACCTACTCTGCTTGACCTACATACTAAGGTAGCTCATCTCTACATCTTCATCTTCCAGCCCGCCGGTACCGGTACGAGCTCTTGCAGTTTCCCGACTTGTCGAGACAAAGACAAAGCCGCCTCTTCTGCTGCTGCGTATGAGTACCTACATTACAATGCATTGTGGTTACGTATGCTACCCACAGCGCAGATCCAGACTGTCATGACTGGAACTGACTGAGAGCTAAGCTATGCCCAGATAGATATACCCCCAGCCCAGCCTTGCAGTACGGCTTGCATTATGCCCACGCCAACCGACCTTCACAAAGAGAGGGCCGGCCAAAAAAGAAAAGAGAGAAAAAAAAAAACGGGCTTCTCTGCATTCCCAGAACTCTTCTAGAGTATGACATTCCAGCGCACACGCACACACACAAAACGTCTCATCCCTTCCATCCCGTCTCAGGAACCCCGCCATAGGGTGGGGTGGGGTGGGGGTGACTGACAAGCGAGAGGGAGAGAGAGGCGTCTGTAACACCTCCTTACAGGTGGCGGCATATCCGAGTGATGGGCCCATGAAGAAGGATAGAGAGTCAAGCGAGGTTGACAGTGCAGCAGGTGGGAGTACAATCAATGCGTAGGGGGACCAAGACAACGGCCCCCCAGGTTACGAACTTACGGCGCGGTTTGGGTGTTACGTTACGCTATGGCGGCGCAGGTTAAGCATTGATTTCTCGAAGGCTAGCGCATTCAATCTACTGATATCACAATGAAGGAATTTTTCATTACTAGAGAGCGGCGACAAAGATTTAGACAACACTGAGTATTCTATTGAGAGACCCCCATGCTTTGAATTGACATTCCAATTGTTTAGCCAGTGCCGAGAAATGCATCACATTCCTTCACTACCATCCCTTTCCCGCCTTACCGGTGCCTTCCATACCAGCCAACCATCCTCCTGGAATCGCAATCGTCATCGTGTGGTATTTTTTTTCGTCCCGGTTCCTTTTTTTTTTTTTTTTTTAAAGCCTTGCCTTTTGGATAATGAAAGAGGATTACAGCACGGCTCCGAAACTATTTCCGAAGAAGAGGTTTCGTTAGTGGCTGATCAACGCAACGATCATTTCCTTCCTTCTCTTCCTTTTCCACCGCCCCCATGCCGTACAAAACATTACATTACCTCCTCCTCCGCCAACATACAAAAACACCCGGTTAAAATGCCCGCATTATACAAAAAAAAGAAGAGAAAAAAAGCCCCATTACACAGAAAAAATCTTATCATCCCACAACGTCTCCTTGATAACAGGCAGCAACACCACCGCCATCACCGGCACCGCTACAAAAGCCACAAACATCTTTGCTGCAAATGCCATTGCAGAACCCCCTGCAACAACGGGCAAGGCGGTGGAAGAAGAAGAAGGAGAGAGGGAAGTGGTTGGATTTCTATAAACACGAGGGGGGAGGGTGGCATACCCGAAAGTCTGCTTAATGCTCTTGACGTAGTACTCGCCAAAATTCCTCTTTGTGACCTCCTCCTCGCCAACTGGAACACCTTCCCATGTCATGCGCAGAGTTGTAGAGTCTGAGCCTTGGTCGAAAACCAGGGTTAGGGTAGAGTAGTGTCCTAAACGAAAAGCCCGGTGAGTAAGGTGTTCCGGAAATTTAAGGGCCGCTCCAAATGCCCGGTCTTTACTCTCCGGTGTAGAGTAGGAGGTATAGAGGTTCCAAAGCGTGCCTATGTAACCACTGCTATAGCCAAAATCCTGGGGAATGACAACTCACCCTTAGTCCATCCTCCCAATCTCCAGCTCTGTACAATCTTGGCGTCCTTCTCCAAAACCTTAAACTCGCCCTCAACATTTCCGCCGAACAAGCTAAAAGCCCCTCCAACCTTTGGCTCAAACACCTTTGGTGTGCTCCTTGACCACGCAGTTACTCTGCCTGGGTCCACGAACACACTGTACAACTGCTCCGCTGAAGTCTGGAACTCAATTGAATCCGTCAAGGTAACTGTGTTTACGATAGGGCCCGAACTAGTTGTTTTCTTCACTGATGTGGAAGATGAACTGGCAGCAGCAGGAATTATAGGTGCAGAAGGAGTGTAGGAAGGCCCCGTACCGGGAGCGTGCTGGATGTCTTTCCCGTGTTCAGCGATGAGGTCGGGGGAGAACTTTCCGAGTGCAACGCGGAGCTGCGGAATTAAAGAGCTACGAATCAAATCTCTGATAGGCGATTTTGTGGGGGTATCGGAGTAGACGTCGACCTCGAAAACGTATTCATCCTCTTCGGTATCATGGGCGATTTCAGGAATTGTGATGGTGCCAGAGACCGATGGATCGTCCACAGTTGAGCCTGAGAATGGATAAGTATAGGGCCATGAAGGGAGAGAGGGAATCGTATATATAATGGTGGCGATCATACCTGAAAACTCGAGGCGCATTTTAACATCAAAGAGTGTAATGACCTTTCCCTTGCGCTGGGAAACATCAACATCTCCATCTACAGACACAACTTTATCAACCTTGACGCTGGTATCCCCAGAAGAAGCTGTGAGGACTGTGAGATTTTTATCAAAGTATTTCTGGGCCCATTCACGGGCATCCTTGTTGACCCAGTGCCAGTTGTTGGGGTTGTGGAGGACCATTGTGATTTAGATAACGGGAATAGGAACGGGAATGGTAGTAGAAAAAAGGAACTGTGGTCTCTTGGTATTGGTAGTTAGTTGGTGTTCCTTCAAAACTCTGGTGCCAAGTGTGAGACTTGTGAATTGACGAGTGATTAGGAGTGGAGGGAGAGGTGAAGAGAGGAGTTCAGACGGGAGTAACCGAGCGGATAAGGACAGATTGTCTTTATGCTGATTATCAGGCCATAGTGCACACATACCTATTAGAAAGATATTTCGAGGCGGTTATTTGCGATACAGAGATGACTTGAAAGGGATCAAGTTTGAACGGGGGAAGAGGGGAGGAATTAAAAGGCACGTTTTTCTGTGGAGTCGAATCGTCTAGAAAGCTTCTAATGTTCGTTGCTACGGAAGGTGAAAATGGACGGAATCCGCTATCTAATCTAATCATGGCAATCGGCATAGCTAGATACAATCTTATCAGATCATCTATATATAGAACTGTGAATTACACTTTAGCGGGGTTGTCCAGGGAACCCTGTCACGTGGTTACATAAACATTCAATCTTTCGCTGCCGTCATATTCCCTTTTGCGATACTGCAGAGCTGCTCTCTGCGCAGTGACAAGCGGGCTGCACCTACAGATGAGATAGGACGCCCCTGCAGTAGCCAATACAGCTAATCCATACTCTTTTACTAAGTTTACTACAGCCCTACCCCCTCGGATTTCTTAATACAGAAAAAGATGCCTCTCCCGCTAACGCGCCGGCCCTCATCGATCTCATCGATCCTTCTCCTTATGTCTTTGTCTGGCTGTGATATATTTTCAGGCGCCAATCAGTTCCTCCAGCAACTCCTGCCATACTAACACGCAACCACTTTATCTTCCGCCTTGCCTACTGCCTGCCGCTCAAACCACACACCACACAACCCATCCCACCTCAATCTGCCTCCACACCCGCTGACAACCCCAACCCCCAAAGCCCAATGGTCCCCAATTCTTCTCCCGCTACGCAACCCTAAACAACGTCCCCTCATTTGGTATTACGCATAGGCGTCCACAGTACTGAAGAGCGGTCAACCAACGACCACCACCGCTCACTTACCCACTATCCCTTATTTCCATACCCCACCACAACGCCGGAGATGGATTTCTATTCGACAGATACTCCTACTCCCGCCGGCCCATCTGCAGGCGGAAAATATCTATTACCTGCTGCCCCAATAATGGAAGCCTCAGCGCTGCTTACGAGACGCATCCATCATCAAAAGCAGCTGATTTCCAAAGCAAAGGCTGAAGCCAGAAGGAATAGCGCCATCAGCCTTGTGCCGCCAGATCAATGTACGAATGATGGTGCACCAAGGACTCCTGAAAACAAGTCCCCAGATCCAACGTCAAGCCACCTGTACTCATTGTCAACGCCAGAGTATAGATCAATAGGAAGGTCGAATGGGAGTGTAGATAGCGACATCATCAGGTTTGGGAGTATGGGAATGAGAGAACAGACCGAGGTTAGTATGCACATCTTTGGGGTAATCAGTTATCAGACAAGCAATTCCTTTGTCCATTCATTTGTTGGGTTCGATTGCTTCTATAGCTGACACAAATTTGTATGGCGGGTTTTAGATTATCTCACAGAAAAGTAAAGAAAACTTTGGTCTAAAGTTGATGCTCACTAAAACTCGCGAACAAGCACTCAGATGTGAAAAGGAACTTAAGAATATGCGCCAAAAGCTTGATCGTGTCCAAGCACGCAATGAAGTACTTGAACGAGAAAACGCTGAACTTAAGCAAACCATCGAGGGTCGTGATGTTATTCTAGATGCAGCAGCCAAGGAGATTGCAGAGTGTCAAGACCAATTATCTGGGTTCAGAGAACGGGCAAGTGCCAAAAAGGGTCGACAGGAACTTTCAGACATGGCTAGCGCCAACTTTAATAGTGACACCACATTAGTATCTCGAGGATCGCCGTCTTTTGGTATATCGCCTTATGCCTCTCGCGATTCTTTGGCGTCCTGCTACACTCCCATATACAAGGATGAAGAAACGAACTATTCGCCATGTACTTCAAACGCTCTCAATAACATTGACTTCAATACGCCGTGTTCAGGAAGGAGTTCAAGCTTGAGCAGGGACTCACCTTTGCCCGGACTAACGCCAATTTGCCCTTCTCGAAGCGACTTCATTGATCGGTGTGCATCCGCAATGGATGAGAGCCCAGGGCCCAAAAATTCCCCATCAGGATCCTCCCATGAGTCTCTTCCCAGTCTTATCAGTGAAAGCAGTCTAAGCATGTACGGTGGGCGCGGCAAAAATGGGGGTGAAACCGATGCAGACATTTTCTATGACCATCGTCCTGGGCCCCGTAATGAGAATGGAGAAGACACTAGGCTAAATATCAAAAGATGGGGAAGGCATGGTCAGAGTGATATGAAAGAATTGACTCAAACGCCGACTCGGAACCCCAGCACAACACGGCGAAGCCCAAGGACGGAACTCAGGGAATTCAGGGACAAGCAGGACAAGCAGGACAAGCAACAAAGTCAGGATACAATGCGACACATGCCGCCTACCCCCGAATCCATGTCACCCCGGAGAAGAATGGGTGGAAGTTTCGACAGCATTTCGTCCAATGATGGCAACAAAGCTAATTGTGGCCTGGGCTTGACGCCTTCAATTGAAGATGTTGATGATTCCAAGACCGAAACACTCGAAAATAACCGCGGTAACCGCAAGGCGGTAAGGACGACTCAAAGGTCTGATGTGGCCCCGTCACCGCTTCAAAAAAGTGTTCGAGAAATCGCAGATAGATTAAGGTCTCCATTTAAGTTTCCGGGCAGCGGCTCTGTGGCGCAGAAAGAGCCACAAACTTTCGGCGACATCACGCACTTGAGGGAGACCAAGAAGCGGTTAGGGTACGGATTCGGTAGCAAGCTTGGCAATATAGCGGCACCCAGTAAACAGCCCGGCCGCGACATAAGCGGTCATTCACGGAAACTCACAGTGAGCAAAAATTCGAAAGACAAGTTAGTCACAGTCCCGGTCAAGCCTGTCACCACGAATCTTCCGGTGAGGTCCCGCATCAGGTTATCGAGCCAGCAACAGGGACAGGGTCTTGAAACACCACCGTATACACCGAATAATGATTCTGCTACTAGCCACGACAGTGAGAAAACAACCCTTGTTCCTCGGAGTCTTATGAAGAAATTGAGCTGGGAGTCATTGAATTCTGGTTCAAATTCAAATGGTTCGGATGGGGTACCCAGGTCGGCGTATAACTCGCATTATGTTATTGGTGGCAGTCCTTCCTATCTTAGACGGAATAGCACTGCATCTCTAGCGACGACAGATATGAGTGCGATGACATTGAAGACGGTCAAAGATATTAGAAGGATGAGCGCAATTCCGGCGCTAGTAAGGGGGGGTTCTGTGAAAGAAAAGTCACGTCACCATGAATGAGCGGGTGAGGCGGCCGTACGGAAGCATGGCTGCCTCATTCCTCTGGAGGAGCGGGGAGGAGGAGGGGGAGTTATTTTCTTTGAATGATACTAAAAGGCGCAGGCTTTGTTTTTCTGGAGGGTCTTACTTTCTTCTTCCATGCTACTAAACATGGATGTCAATATATCGTTCTGTGGCATGTTAATTTTCCTGGGGTACGGTGGTTCTGGTTGGCGGTATGGTTTTTCTTTCCTTTTTCTCATTGTGGGGAGTTACTGTTTCCTTTAGTTACCAGTATCTGATCTACATTGCATGGTTGATGTAGGCATATTATGCACTCTTATGTTTGTTTCCTATTTGTGGAATCTTCTTTCTTTTCTTCTGGAATGGAGTGGGCTAATGACGGCGTTGGAGTGGTGTAGGTTGCTTTTCCTTTCCTTTTCCTTTTCCTTTCCTTTCCTTTTTTTTTTTCGATAACATACACTCTTTTTCACTTTTCCTTTTTCCCCAAAAGCTTTCCATATGTTGAAAGCGTCCACTCCTTTATATTTTCCTTTGTCTGGATGGAATTCACTTGCATACTCACTGCAGATGAAAAAAAAGCGTATTTGAGGTTCTGCAGTCGGGAGTGGTGATGGAAGATGGGGGGGATTGCGATGTGGGCTGGATGGTAATTGCAGGCTGCAGACTGCAGGGTGCAGCAGGCACAGTGGTCCTCTAACCGAACAGAACGCGCTTACTAGGCTGGTGTCCAGCACGTGAACGAGATATACAACAAAATGGATGGCATTGGATGCTACGCGATACGAATGACGTCAATAAACACGCCGGTATGATGAACTGATACGCCTACATTTTACATTAGATAACGCTCTGTTTTTTGTTTGTTTGGTGGTAATGGAACAGCAAATGATCGTGTTGTTTGTAAAGAATATTTATATCATGGGGCGAGCCACCGCAGGAACGCAGTGAGGCCTATTTCTTCCTCTGTTCTTATTTTATATGTTTTTCTTGATGTTTACATGATTCTTTCAATGTTCAATTGCTCAAGCCGGGGAGTATCGTTGGATTCGATTGATAGGGTTTTTTCTTCTTCGTTGAATGTTATTATTATTTAGTGATACCTATTGAATTGTAGGGAGCCTATTCTTGACATGTATTTACATGTAGTTGGGATATGCCTAACAAGACTACTACAATCCTTACTACATGTAGTTGGCGTTTCGAGTCGTTTATTAGTATTCTACTAAGGCTGTGAGATGGCTACCTAGGGTCCTATCCACCTAGTTATCTTGGCATTAACGTTGCATGCCACGTTCTGGAAAGCCTTGAGCATGAGCCGCTTTGTGAAGAAGGCCCTCAGGTACTAGGTACGTACTCTATCATGCAGTTGTTGCCCGGGCTATTTTACCCACTCCAATAGAAACACCGAGACAACGGTGAAGCAAATATTGACAGTACCCTACGATCCAGTAAAACTCCCCAACAGCTGGAGGCGGAGGTGAGGTCAGATAAAATCTAATACTCTACCACCACATCACGTATCATGAAACGTCACTAGATGAACAATTCACCACTGCAGTTATATGTTAGTTTTTTTTCCCCTGCATAACGCATTTTTCCCCAGTTTCGAAGTAAATCCAACGGTGCCATGATATAGAGAGGGGGGGCAAACATGTAAACTTTGGGGGCGACTCGCCGCACACAAGCCAGCCAATTTTCTAAAACTCGTCTGAAACCCGCAAACAGTACAAAATAAGTGTGATATTTCTTGGCCTGGGAAGCATGCGCCGGGCGGATAGACGTTGCATAACGTCCTGTACCTGCATCACATACCTACCCCTCTCCTCTCGCGAGCCTGGGCGAATTTACATTATGGCATATTGCACCGGAGATGTATCAAGCGGAGCGCCCAGTTCGGGATTCATTTGATATCACTCGCTCGCTCAAGGGCCGCTCTTCGCGTGGGTTACTGAATCTGGGTGAGGCTTGCATGTGAGCTTTAGAATATACGTATATGTACTCGCATATACTGACAATGGTAGGTTATGCTGTGACGACTTATAGTTGCAACTGCGTGCTTGTCAAACATTCACGTTAACAAGACAGACTATCCTGGACAAGAGCATTTACAGCCAGCCAGCCAGAAGTCTTGACCTCGAAAAATCTCAACTCACAGCATTTGACTTTCCGCGGGACGACATTGCAGCTCACAAAGTCTCGCAACAGAGACATTGCGCCTGTATACCATATCCATCTAGGTACATAGCTAGCATCGCCACAACTAAAGGGCACTGCTGTTCCAACTGTCCGTGCACTTACCAAGTAAGTCCCCGGCGTTAGGTGATCGCTGCTTCCCGAAGATGGTTCTATCAATAGCGGGCCGTGGCGGCTATTTGGGGGGGGGGGGGGGGTGTTACTCGGGGTCCGGAGCCGGAGGCCCGGAGCACAGCACCAGTTAAACGGATTAAACGAAAGCAGCGTTGGCTTAACGGCCCTGGATTATATGAAAATGGTTTGTAGGGGGTCCTCGAGGTTTGGTGGTGTTAGGGATGATAAAAGTAACAATCTGTTATTCATAGGATATCACTCGTATATAGTGCCCCCTTCCTACATAAGCAAAGTCTGGAATGCCGCCGGATTTATCAGGCCTTCATAACTCTTGCTGGTATAACAATGGTATTAGAAGTAGAATACCTTGGGCTCGCTCCTGAGTAATTCTACTTCCTTGGCTAGCTGGAGCTCTAGAAAACCGAGCGTTATCAAGAATGCCGGCCGAAAGATTATCTCCGGGCGGTAAATAAGAAAGATGGGCCGAAGTTATAAGTATAAGAGATTTATTTATCGCAGCGGGATACCGCCTCAAACTCGTTCGGGGATGAAAGGTGGAGAGGAAATGTATGCGCAGAAAGGCCAGGTATCGATATTGTTGTTGGCTGTTGTAACCGTGTTACCAATACCAAGCTGGGTGAGTGTTCCATGTTCTTGCCGGCCGGGTTCTTTTGTTGTCTTTTTTATTGATACATGGATAGTACATTTTCGTTTGATGACTTATTTTTTTAGAGATATTTTGTAGGTTTGGAAGCACCCTCGGAAATAGAACGGAGAGCTCGGGGAACGGAGGGCTTTCGGGATGTATTTTTTATGGGCCCAGTATGTTTTGAACTAGCACGATGTCTTGAACTAGCACGACGATACCGTACAAGTTTGGAAAACACCTCGAGCTACCAAACTCCCCAAGAACCCGAAGCTACTCGAGCCTTCTTCCTCTGGGAAAAATCGCAGGCCTTCGGAACCTATTACATGCATCAGACTGTGCATAGAGTCCAGGCACGAGGCTACCAGAGTGCGGTATGTGACACTGCGGTATCGTTGTAATTGTCTTGACTAGCCGCATTCGCTTGGTACTCTTAAGCAGCAGCAGACAGTCTCAATGAATACTGGAGAGAGTCTCTCATGGTTGATTATACGGTCATCCTGCTCAAGTCTTTCACCTACCCCCAAAGATCTGATATCGATAGCAAACACAGGCTTGGCCTCGGTCGGTTTCGATCCAAACAGAGAGAGTGTATTGATACTAATTATACCTACTGAATTACACCAAGATTTTTAACTTTTTAGTAAGAGACACAAAAACCCCTACTTGCATGGAGTAGTAAAAAAGACACCCGACAATAAGAAAATAGACCTCCCTAAACGCCAGAGCTCACTGAACAATAGGTACAGAAAGCATCATGTAGATAATAGCTTCCCCTGACTGACAATATTAACATCCAATTATTTCCACAACGCCCCGGTTCTTCATGGCAATACAAGCGATATCCATATCCCGAAGTCCCCGGTACAAAATTAAGAATACTACCACCACCTTCCAATCGAGTAAGAGGAAACATAAACTTGTACTGACAAAGCCGTCCCAAAAACAGAAACCAGATAAAGAGAAAGAATAGGCTGAGGGGGGGGTATGACACAGGAAATCAGAACGACCACCCAGTTGAGTTATTAAACCTCATGAGACACTATCATAATGCATCAGTCATTATTTATCATGCTTCTTCAAAAAAGAAAAAAATAATTCAGGTGATGAGTTGGGTGTTGATATCGAAATGAAGGCGGCCCAAAGGGCTATAGAAAAGTCTCATCATTGACGTTGACACAACAGCAGACGAAGCAGAAACCTCTACAGAGTTTTTCCCAAACACCTTGATTCCTTAGGCTGTCGGGTCGACTCCTGTACGTGGGACTCTCCAGTGAATCCGGGGTATGCTGGTTCCCATCAGTGTATGGATCGGATCCAGTAACGAGAACAGGTGCACGGTGAAATGGATGCGAAGATAGGGTCCCGTAAGATCTATTCATTGATAAAGCCGGACGAAAGGTCGGTTGGTGGGGGAATTGGCGAGGAGACGATGATATGCCACGTGAGAAGAAGGTACTGGCTGTAGGCGCTGATGTGGGATGTTCAGCTGAAGAGGAATATGGTGATCCTAAAAAATCCAGTGGTAGGATAAGCATGTGGGACAAATTAGATGGGTAATATAATGAGATGGGGACTTACCACTAAGATTAGGCGCAGAGGCTGACATAGCTGGGTGTAACGGTTGAGTGGGACTCGCATAGTCGTAAAGGAAACGCCCGTCTTCATCTTCATCTGACTCTTCATCTTGTCGCAGTGGAGTATACTCCGTTTCATCCAAAATCTCGTCACGAGTACTCTTAATACTTTTTTGCTCCGTTATAGTCTCCATCATCGAGATGCCCGAAAATCGAGAAAAATTTCTGCCTCTTCCGGGAGATTCATTCTGTTGTGTGTCCAAAAAATCAACAGGTTTTTGCTTTGACGAATCATAAGAGTCGGAGAGCTCTTTGTCAGAGCGGCCTTCGTCATCGGAAGCTACCGGAGAAGCTTCATAGATAGAAGGATGCGGAGAGTAGCCATCATCGGATTCATCATTCAAGGGATGTAAAACCTTCCGCTGCTCACGCCGAATACGAGGGGAAGGCGGGGTCCTCGAAGCTGGTGGCGGTGAATTTTCGATTGACGAGTTCGACGAACGGACAATAGCAAGTGATGCAGAGCTAGGGGATGAAAGAAAAGGAGGATAGTAAATATCCGCCATGATGCTTCTGTTCTCAGCCTAGTAAATAAGAGAGCGGGATGGATTCAAACACCCTCTCTATCGTTCTAAATAAGTTATGAGGATGACTTGCTGGGTTGATAAAATGTCGCTTTGGTATGATGATATCCAAATATTCACAGTTTTCGATCGCTATCCAAAGAAAAAAGGAAACTCAGTTCACCGACATGATGAGAGAGGGGAAGTACGAGGTTGAGTGGGGGACTGTGGGGTGTTTTTTTTAGTTTATTGAAGGCACAGATCTGTATCATTCTCGGTTATATCACATATGCCCATTCCAGTGTGGTTCTCCCGCGGCCTCCGCTGGGTGGGTGATTATTACTTTGTGGGGAAAACTACAGATCGCATCACCTGAAACCCTGCATCCCACGTGCCCAGACCCCTGCCAAACAGGGTCCAAGATTGACAGTTCCGAACCATGGAACGCCAGGCAAGATGTCGATAACGGCTATTGGATCTAGGACAGGTACAACAATGTTTCCTCTATCGGTATTGAATCTTTTTAATTTTATGTACCTTTAAAAAATCTAACTATGTACAGTAAATATTAAGGAATTTCAAGACTGACCTTTTCAATTATTGTAGAAAATCACTCTTCGAGATGTAAATATGGAAAGGACCTTTGAAATTCTGACCAATCTGAGAATACCATATCCAAAATTGCACGTTGTCAGGGCTTTGTTTCAGGCATGGGCAAAAACATCCGATCACGGGAAACATGCATCGCAGCCTCATTCCAGGACACTGCAGGAAATTTGGATACATACATTCCATTTTTTTCCCCTCCAATTTGTTAGCAAGCAAAGAAAACATTGGGAAAGAATACATGTATGTTAAAATTCAATACTTAATTCACGAGTTTGAGCTTTTTGATGCTTGAAAGTCATGTTTGTTATGGATAAATTATAGCTATTAATAACTTACATGTAGCTGCAAAAGTATCTTTTGAGCTCGTCCCGCACTCTGTTTTCTGGTCCCTTGCTGCACACCAAGAAATCGATGTAAAGCAAAAATCCTTGCGTCAGATCTCCCGTCCATACATTCCCTAATGTCTTCGTCATCACGGCTGTTACTACATGAGTCAATCCCACACCTCCACCTCCACCTCCACCTCCAATCTCCATCCATCCCCACCATACCTCATTTGCAATACTCTCTTATCTCTTGTTGACCATTTACGCTGTATATCTGCTCATCAATAACTACTTGTGTGGTAAAAACAAAACCTTTCTTTTTTAAAGAAACCTCTTTGTCACCAAACAGGCCGAGATTCCACGTCCATCTCATCTGGTCAGTGCAAAAATGGGGAAGTTGAATTATACCAATGTAATTAACCCCTCCCCCTCATAAAAGATATTAAATTGAAGTTTTAACGTTTGCAACAGAGGAGGATTAGCGGAGAAAAGCTCGGGAACGCTGTCAAAAGGGACATCCTAAAATGCATAACACAATCAACAAAGCCGGGCAGAGTCCTGAAGGACCCACATCTTGAGCTCAACCTTCAAGGAAAGCACCTCTGTGATGGGGGTTTAAAGCTTGCCTGTGAAGGGTTAGCTGTGACCCTCGAGTCCGGGTGTTCGAAGCTGGATGAACTGAATCTATCAGAAAATAAGATCACTTTAATTGGCCTAAGTCATCTTACTCGAGTTATCAAACTCGCTGCTAGAGATCTGAAAGATCTAGACCTAAGTCGTAACAATATTCAAATCCTTACACAACATGATGAAGGGATCTGGGAAAGCTTTTTGATGGGATTCAGAGATGTAAAATTCTATGATCTACAATATTGAAATAGCACTTTCTGATGATGAAGAATAGGTTTGCACACTGAGACGGTTGGATCTCTCTGAGAATCCTCTTGGTGATAAAGGAATGGAGGTATTATTAAGTGTTTATGTACGGGAGTCACCAATACTTCTACCCAGAGCGGTAAAGCCAGTGCTCGCCGAGAGCTCAGACGAGGAGTACTATCCAGATTTCGAGGCTGATTCGGACACGGACACCATATTCTCCTCCGAGCCTCAGCCACTACATAGTTATCCTAGTCATGAAAACCTCTCTGAGTCTCCACCCAGCCCGCATTCGACTAGCGTTTTGAAACCAAACAAACCGTATATTGGTATGCGTTTAATCTCTTAAAAGAGATACTAATCAAGGATCTGTGCTGATAAACTTCACAGCTGAGAATTCATCTCTTGACCGATCACCCGCCCTCTCGCTCTCAACGTCACTTATCTCAAGTCGAGTGGAAATTCAAGGCTTACGATCAATTCCTTACTTAATATTCTCAAAGTGCACCTTTTCAGACAAGGGTGCCCTTTTTCTCTCCTATATTATTCCCATGCATTTTACACCGGAACGATTGCTATCATATTTCCCTCCTACACGCCCTGGAAGTCAAACCGAGATCTTTGACCGTTACGATAGAATTCCAGGCTGTTCTGGGATTGTTTATCAAGAAAACGAACTGACAGCCATGGGCTTCAAAGTACTTGAACTAGCTGAGGGCGTGCGTGAAAATCGTACACAAACGCCTACTAGCCCTAGGAGTAGGCAGGTATCCGAAGCCTCTAACGGATTGCTGACACCTCTAAAACATAGAAAGGACAGCTTTTCGTCACAATCCCCCCATAGCGTGTCCCAGGGAGTCACTAGTACTGAGCTCGAAAGGGCCCGAAGCAAGATACAGGGGGCTATATTAAAGAACTATGGGGCAGGTTCTATTGAGGTCTGGAAAATAGCTATTAAAATGCTTTCGATTAGTCGAACGATATTTTTCGACAAAGAAGACCTAGGAGCTGACTACCTCACGCTCTCTACACGCAACCCCCAACGACATTCTCCAATTCGACAAGCATTCAACACATTCAACCCGAGATTCTCTGGTCTACATGTAGGCTCGCTGAATTTCCCGCACACCGCACAATTCCAACAGCATCACCCCAACATTCTTGACGGCCAAGGGGCATGGAATGGGCCAAATGTTTCTCAGCTTGGCAGCCCCACAATATCGCAAAAGGAAATGTCTGATTTCCCGAGTCCAGTTCGGTACAGTTGTTCTTCTACTACAGAAACGTCAGAGCTCGAAGAGCTCCAAGAAAAGATGCCAAAAAAGCTCCCGGGAAATCTTCCAACCGAGCTTTGGATACGAATTATCGCACTTGTGACGGATCCCAAGGATGTGTTGTCTGAGAAACAGCGGAAGAACATAGTTGCCTGGGCCAAAATAAGTGAATCTCTAGAAAGAGAGAGGGATTTGGCGGGGAAATTAAGGTCCGTTCAAATCTGGAGAGTACTGGAGGCGTTAGAGTGCCTGAGCTATGAGTTTAAAACTGGCAAGGAGATCTAGAGACTGGGAAAGAGTTGCTACGTGGTCGACTTAGGAGGTCATTTTCAGTCTGTACTAATCGCAGTCAAACCAATATTTTAAAATATTGTTTGTGGATTTCTTTTAAGTTTCATTTTTACTGGATTTTCTGCTACAGAATTGTCGTTACTTGTGATTCTCAGGTATGACAAGTGGTTGGTTTTAGGAGGGCTGGCTGCTCTTTCAATCTCACTCCATAAGTGCTTTTAGCAGTGCAATTCGTTTCTATCAGAAATTTCTTGTTAGCGTAAGATGGTTCACATGAACTAGTATGTTGAATCATTGACACAGTTGAAAGTTAATCAGAAGATATTTCACTTAAAAAAATAGCACTGAGGCTGTCTATTTAGTTACGACGTAATAAATTTGCAATTAGTGGCAAACCTAGAAGACATAAAATTGTGGTTTCTAAAACTATTCTTTCTATATATCTGTGCTTGTTCTCTAGGTCACCTCTTTTCAACTAGAGAATTAGAGGGAACGCCTTCTAGATGGTCTGGCCAAAGCTATCATACGGGCTGATTTGGGTTGAGCTTGTAGGTTAATTAATGACTGATAACCCAATATATCTTACGTAAATTCTAATACTCGAGCGAAAGAAAAAGAAATGTGCATATAGCTAGTAGCAGATCTAGAAGTGAGCTGGAACCACCGCCGCATTTTATGACAATTGTAAGACGGCGTAAGCGCGGCATTAATTGATACCGTGCTTTAACCAAGACGCGCATTGACACTTATATAGTGTGGCCACGATCTCGAATTACACACATAAACGTACTCTTCTTATGGCCAAATACTATAGGGCTGTGCGTATTTAACGAATGAATTGATCAATCAACTGGTGTATGATCGAGTGATATGTCATGATCGAGTGTCAGAGGAATACTGGTATTAATGGGACATCTTTTCTTGCCTTTGCTGCTGTATGAAGCATCCAGATATATGGGTATTCGATATTCTCTACCTTATATATCCCATATATGTAGCAATCCCAAACTAGGCACTAGACGAGAATAAGAGATACATAGAATTATAAACAAGATCTAACAAATGAATGATCAACCGAAAGGTATGATGATATCTGTTCAATTGGTATGTACCAACATGGGTTAATTGATTGACTATAAGATAAACCGGAAAGAGGGATGAGATATAGCAACACATCCACTCATGGAGCTAGTGGGATTCCTTTAAGGCGAGGATAAACCCTTCTTTTCGACCCTAATAATGCTCAATGAACCATGGTTTTTAATATAAATCTTTGAGAGTGCTGTTACCATATTGTCTTGCTTCATCACCGTTCATGATCAATCGTAAAGCTAGAATCCAACAAGTAATTTCACTGATATAATTGCAATGATACCTCCGCTAACTACAGCCATTTTTACACGCGCGGCGGTAGACCACGAACGGCGCACACCCCCCAGAACGGCCGCACCCGAACACACCTACAAGTCCCCACACGCAGCCCCGGAGGCGCCAGCCCGGGGATCACACCAAGATTTATGTGTCTTGTGGGTTGATGGCTACATGTAGCTTGCGGTCTTTGTAGCATTACATGTATATTAACGTCTCGGCATCTAGTTACATGCATACATAATAAATCACTCGGTCTGTACTGATCACTACCGTCTGAGCAACTAGCACGTGGCCAGAGCTCCTATCTACTTGACTGTGGAGCTCAATGCAGAATGATGTGTCGAAAGAAAAAAAAGTGGTAAACTGCAAAGGACGTCGTAGGATAATGAGACATGCACCCTGTCAGAGGACAACTATCATATTGGTTGAATCATCTGGCTATCTTGCCAATAAAGTTTTTCAAGCACTCAAAAACCCAAGTCACTATACAACCGCACTTATGAGTACGCGTCCCCTAGGTCGGGTAGAAAGGCTTCCAAATGCGCCCGAGTCACGTCAAACGTTTCCTGAGTAATTTTAACAGGGACTCTGATCATCGCTTATGCGGGCCTGCAGCTCAAGATTCAGATACCTTTTCAGATATATCTCAAACATACATGTATCTACTAAGAGGTAGAAGATTTACCGAGTCCAAAAGTAAATGTTTCTGCTCTAGGCCTGTACTAGCTATAGATTCTAGTGGCTACATTATGTTCTAAGTACTCTGACTAAGCTGTATTATTATTGATAAGCTCTGCTACCGGAGTTCGTCTGATAATAATATATCAAGTCTACGCATAGATCTGGATCTAGGGATTGCAAAACTTGTCTCTCATTCTACTTGCTTACCATGGCTAGCATATGAATCAGAAAATGTGAAGTCTCAAAACAAGTGTTATTTGCGTCACAGAACTCGTATGGTGCCACGCCATACAAATAATCCTTGCTTTGGCGGTGCACTCGAATTTTCTGGTTCATATGCTGGTAAGAAAGTACATGTAGGTACATGTAGTTGCTCTACAATTGAGCGTGGCTGAGTACAAGACTAACCATTCATGGAAGGAATGACCAAAAAAGCCGAGTGATTACCTATGCAATCAAACAATACAATCACATACTCAGTGACTAGGTAGGTAACAATTGACAGATCAGATTCATCCCATCTACTAGCGACTCCACGTGCATCTCTACAGGCTTACACACTGTCTCCATAGCCTCGACGCTCCGGAAAAGCCACAAAGCACCGCTCCTTGACTTTCAACTCCATGGCCAAGCTTGATTCAAGTTCCAGATCTGACAACATGACCTTTGTGACCTAGGGCTATGCACGCAGCGCCACTTGGTGTATACTTTGATTCGTTGATCGAGACAACAGTATACGTACACACACACATCAGATCAGAGCAAGAGTGAGTTCAAGACAGCGTCGCCCATAGCCACTCTACTAGATACTCGATACGAGTCTCCTAAGGGGTATACAAAGTTATTCAATCATATAGCCGTGGCTGAACACAGACAGTGTTTGATTAACTGACTGACTGACTACTCCGAGCTCCCTAATCAGGCCTTGCTGGGCAAATGTAGTGCAGCATATTGACAACTCGCGGACTCATCTGCAGTTTTGCACTTTGTCGGGATCTGTATGTAGGAACGCCCGGCCCCGTAATGATCATGTTTTCTCACTCATCCTTACCTACATAAAAACACAGACCTCATGCACGCCCACATGTAGATAAGTTGTCCTCTCCTTTCCCTGCTACTATCCTATTCTCATTCACGACGGATACATATAGATTAACTAACTCTAGTCGCACGAAACAAAAAGCGCACCTTTCAGGGTTTGACTCGCTCGTTCGTAAAATCACTCATGTTCGTGCCCGAGCTCTCATATTTCGAGTCTCACGAACTGGCTCGGTCTGGATAGATCACATTACGCGAGCCGGGGGACGAAATCTCCGACTCATCTCATCCTGATACAATGTGTCCAGCCTGATATCTTTACCTACATAAAGTACCCATACTAATTAATAATAACAATAATAACAATACATAGTGATAATAATAGTTGAGTTTCGTTAAGCTCGTTCTAGAAGTTCCGCACGAGCCCTTCTGTCGCACAAAGAAAGGGTTCAGGGTTTAATTGTTACGACGAACGCTATTCCCTGTTACATATCTGTCCGATCTGGCACGGTTGACCGTTGTGTTCGATTGCGTTTGGCTGGGCTGGCAGGATGTCGCAACCGGTCTGAGAGCCGGGCCGATGAAACTCGGGCCGGGCGAGATCAGTGGAGCGAGTGCTCACTCACCCAAGATGGCAGACCGTGCTCCCCCTCCAAACACCCTTCGCTTAGGTCCTTTATGTTTGAATTCAGAGACAACTGGCACATGGTGGATGCAGCCAGTGCCAGTGTACAGACAGGACTCCAGAGGAATCTGTTGTCTTGAATTCTGTTTAGCTCTGCAGCCACTGATTTTGATATGATGGCCTTGGTCACGCTTGGAAAAGGAGGAAGAGAAAAAAGAAAGGGAAGGTTGGACTATGATTTGGAAAACAGTTTCTTCCAAGGTGGTGGCGATCGATTGTATTGCCATAATAGTACTTGCTCAGCTCAAGTTTCCGTATATCGTATAGCCATAGGTACACGAACTTGAAACGTTTGAGCTGAGGATCGATAGGCCTGAATAACACCACTAGATACCACTACTACCATGTTGGGCAGTGCACCCTCACCCATTAATCGGGCCGGCTTAATTCTCCACACAACGGATTTCCATCTGGCCTGGTCGAATTCTCAATCTTCCATTCGTTCTATTGGAGATTTCGATATTTTATCCTTGCCTTATATATAGATCAGCATGGAGTAATGTATCAGTGCCCCGAACCGCAATCCGCATCCTAGCAACAAAAGAGTTATTGGGGACAACTTACGATCCAGGAGCCTCATCTCGGGATTCTTGGGATGAGATGAACAGGGGATATTGCAGGCCTGTATGCCAGGTACTACTTGCTGGTAACACGGAGAAGCCCGGTTCTTTCGACATATTCCCTCTCTCCTAGGGCCTTCCTCGGAGCTGAACGAGTGAATCGTTCGGCGAAACTCCCATAATCGGCCCCCAGGAATCGTCCGGATGAGGGATATCATATTTGCATTGCTCATTCCCTGTAGAAATTCGAAAGCCGAAGCTATGGGATGAGGCTGCCTAGCCACCACCGGCAATCCCCGGCAACGGAACTAGTGTAGGTACCCACCTGCCAAAGTGTGAGGCGAACAACAACAATCTTCAAGTATGTATGATCAAGTATCTTACACGCACATACTGACAGACAGATACCTACACGATGGAGTACATACCTCTCAATGTACGCCTCACCTCATCTTACAAACTACAAATTATTTTCGAAATTCCGAGGTTACGATAGGGCCCCCTAGTTTTTGGTACAAAGCCTCGTTTTTGTTTTCCCTGCTTTGTACCGTGGATAGCACCCCCTCACCCCCCAGATCAACCCTAAAAAAGTAATCGATCCGCAAAGTAAGGCTGAATCATCAACCAAAAAAAAAAGAAGATAGGAACGACTCCTGTGACATGTCTCCCCTTGCATGAAGAAGTGAATGAGCGACTTTCCAGACTAATGATGTGGGCGGTGGTTCCTGCATAATACAACCTTTCACAGATGCCACAAACTCAAAGGAAAAAAAGGAAAAAAAGGAAAAAGGAAAATTTCTTCTTCAGAGAGAGGTAGGAAAATAAAAACACACTTGCGTCAAGCTAGCCAAAGAGAAACCCAAGCGGGTGATGGCTTGTTTTGTGTTAAGCGATTGTATTTAAGATTATCGGCGAACGAGCAGAAGAACCCGGGAAACAAACTCACACTAAAGGGAGAAGCCGAAAGTTCGTTCGTTCGCCGTTCTTCTTCTATTTCCACCACACTACTAAAAGATAAAATAAGGATACAGAAGAAAAAAGAAGTCCCGCATCCCCCTTCCAAATCTACAGTATCCGAATAATTTAATATGCATGCACCGAGCTGAAAATAATTTCCCCAATATTTCCCTTGAGTTCCATATACGCCTGTGTTCCATGAGAATAAAAAAAATAAAAATAAAAAAAATAAAAAAAAATAGAAAATATCTAAGAAATAATCTGAAAAGAAGGGAATAATGATAGATGATAGAAAACCTTTCCCCGCCCGCCCGCCAAAAACGAATGAAAAATAAAATAAAAAATCCCTATAATAAAAAGTTTCACATGAAGCAGAAAACACGGAAAAGAAAAGAAATTACGCTCTTCCTCCCGTTCTTCATGAGCACCACTCTCCTTCACTCTCACTACACTCTCCCTCACTGCAGTCTCCCTCGTCTGACCCCTCACATGAACCAAGCTTGTGCGTGGCATAGAAGCCCCTTGTCCATCCTTCTCCTAAAATCCGTCGCCCTCCTCCAAGTTCTGGAAGAAGAGGGGGACCGCTGAATGGGCCTAATGGAACGGACATCATCTTTTCGTCGCACCCATTGCATTTGACATGCTGACATTCGCTCCACGTGCAAACATTCTCCCCTTGCTTAACAGTCATTGGGCCATTGTCGCATTTGCAGCATCTCCAGCGGGCAGGCATCGTGTAGTGTGTAGATGTGTTGTACGGAGGAATAAGGAGAAAAGAAAATCCGTCCGAATCGAGGGTATGCGCCGGGGACTATTGGTTTTGGGGTGTGGTAAATAGAAACTCGGTATAGTAATTATGCCTTTCGAAAGGTCGCAAGAATTCGGAAGAGAGATGTTTTGTATTCTTATTTCGTGTATTGAAATTGTTCAAAATCTGCAAGTAACTCAGTATTAGCAACTCGTTTTTCTCTTCCTCTTTATCGATAGTGCATGGTAGGCGCCGGCAAGGGGGATGACGTACGCAACAAAACAAAACAAAATCAAGTCACTAGTGAAGGAACAAAAAGTGCGGTGTAATTGTTCAGCGAATTCACGGCGGAAGGTAGTGTATATATTCGAGTTCGAGGTCGTTGATGATCGATGGGTAGAACAAACTAAGTCGGAATATAGAGGAGAGGGAAGGTATCAAAGTGGGAGGTACCCTTCATTTATATTAGCTATTGAGATAGCTAGGTCGCCCGGGCTGCTGTTGTTCAAAGGCCAGGCCAGGTAGGCTGTTAGTAAAAAGTGAAACAGGCTTATTCTGTCCTGTTAAGGCCGCAAGGCGGAGTTTTCATGTCCGCGCTTTTTTGCTTGTTTGACCCCGCGAGCGAGTCCCACGAGTGACTGACTGACTCGACCCCTCTCTGGCTAATCATTTGCTTTTACAATCAACCTGGAGAAATTCACAGGAGGTCGGGACCCCCTCTCCCCTTCTTGGCCGTGTATGTAGCTAATAGCACACACAGGGTCAGGTCAATCTTACGGAAAACACGGTTTCTCTCTCACTACCGATACTGGTACACACATGGCTACATACCATGCCCACTCTCCTCCATACATATGACCACATATTATGAATGCTGTCTATTCCTCTTATGTAGAAATTTTTATTATGATGAGGGGACGAGTGGGGTACATTTGGTATTCTTTCCTTCCTGTCCTGTAGGTATGACGGTGATGGGGTCGATGACCTGGCCAGCCAGACGTACAGATATGACGAAGCCTCGCATGTCCGAAAAGGGACACAACCAAGAGTTGGAGCGATAGGAAGTCGGGAAATTCAAGTGGTGTGGAGTTAAAAATACAACATTCTGGGGAGTGGGGTGTGTGTATGCAGAGTGTGTGCAGCAGTTGTTGAAAGGTACCATTAGCAGGCCAGCCTTCCCTGCAAATAACATTCAACTTCAAACACACGAACAGAAGTAGCATAGCAGCTGACAAACTAATCGAGGGCCCTTGAGAGCAGATTGAAGGCATTCCATCATATCATCTGTGATCCTTTGATCTGATAGGAGAATTGAATTACGACGTCTGGCGTGAAGATGAGAAGGATGCAGTTCATTTTGAAATCGATATGTCTCGAAATTCGGTTTTATGTATGTACATATATACATGTGTGTGCCTACATACAGGGGTGGTAAACACCACCACAACCACCACAACCACATACACTCACTCGAGAGCCCACACTCCTTCACACGCTTGCAGGGAAAGGAAAGTTCGGTTTCAGGTGGGGTATGTACGGTACCTAGGTAACTCTACTACGGGTTTGCCTCACCTACCCAGGAATGTGGTTTAATCGTTGCTCGCTTCCCGAATATGTCACTCCATGCCGAAGCTTCTAGCTCGTTCCAATTAACGCCCACCAGAGGGGGCATTCAGTCACGGCACACTAATTGGAAAATCACCCATGCAGGTGTTATGGCATACATACATATGTATCCAACGGTCATGTTGCTGAATTTTCTTTCGGCTCACCGATCATGCATGGTGGGACTGCAATCGATACATGTATGTACTACTACGGTACATCCAGCTGCTACAAAATTTAATGTTTGCTCAATGCACATTGAATTAACCACCTCCTCATGTGATCTGAAATCTCCCGTGGGATTGGGTCACAATCTTCAAATTGATAGCAAATCGAATGTGCCCTCTATGCGTGGTGGGCTATGTTAGTAGGGTGTACCTGGTGGTGATTGGACAAAGTAAGAGATGAGAGATAGTCCTGATTGTCGGTTATCATGCTTGCCTGGGCAAGAGGAGGAGGGAACATACGATATTTTTTCTTTCGACATATCTCAAACATGCAGGTCCATCCGTATTCCCGCTCCGTTATTTTAGTTTTGATAGAAGAATGAAACGAAGAAAAAATATAGGGAGGAAAGGGCTTAATCATAGCTGCTAGATAAACGGATGCCAGGCTTTATCTTGCAGAAGCAGTCGCTTTGTTATTTACTGCGCAGTGCGCATATGCATTTAGCTGCCCTATAGCTAGCTATGCTTCTTTCTTATGCGCCTGTACCTATCTGGTTTTCGTCCAATCTTTGCTCTATAGAAGTATAGAAGTAGAGTACCACCAACAAGGCTTACAAAAAGAACTTACAATTAACGCCCCCTAGTTTTATTGTTTTTGTTTGAGAGGGGAGCACGCGCACGTGTGTGCAGCGGGAGATCTGCGGGTAATCGGGAATCGGGGGCAACGAGAAACCTGTCAAATGGCTACGTCCAGTTTCAGTATCGGAATTGATTCCCCCATTTAACCATTTCCGTCAGGTGATAGAAGTTGCACTTATTAACCTCGATCCTTCTAGACTTCTGTCAATACTACGGTTAGTACGCGGGGAAAACAACAAAAGGGCTGTTTTGGTTGAGAAACATTGAGTTAATTCGATTTCCAACGGCAGTAGTATGTGGCTTCAGCTACTACATCTGCAGTACATATGTAGCTTGGGTTCCCCTACAACTACAATTATTATCAAATTGGCCTAGAGCTTCCTCGCCAAGAGTTTGGCCCTATGAAATATGTGCAACAAGGCCGAGAATTACTATTTTACAAAGCCTAGCTGCCAGAAATCAATTGAGGACCTCGGGTTTGTGCACTGGACCGACTTTTAAGGACCAAATTAGTGTGACCCAGAGCCTCGTTCGTTCGCTCGTTCGTTCGTATCTTTGAATTTTTCTTCTTTCCTTATTTTCTTCTTCTGCAGGTGCTGCTTCAGGGTGTCCCTTCCGATCTTCACTGACTATATTACTTCTTGGTACTTTTATAAATAACTACTAACCTTATCCTAGTACATACATACACATACATACACTCAAGCATGCCCTAAACTGCGTTTCAAAGATGAACACGCGCAACTAGTAAGCACCGAGGCTTCCTCAGCGAGCCCCTTCGGAGTACTGAGCCTGAGGTTTGATGCATGGCATGCATACATGTCCTGGATGTACTCTAGAACATCGTACATACATGTACATGTACTGTTGGGTAACGTTTCACTACGGATACATAATGCGATAGGAACTGTCGATTTTGCTGAATAAACTTTGATAAAATCATGATCAGGTGGGAGTTGGTTTGGGGCACGATCATCACAACATACATAACGGATCGTCTCCCTTGGACCGTTCTTCCCCGTTTGTGCAGCAAAGATAGATACTCCGGACTAACCAGAGTCTAGAATGCGTCTATAAGATATCAGAATGAAGACCGCGCTTGTACACTTTACATGAGATGAGAGCCGGGGCTTAATGGGCCATTGTCTGTTGCAGGGAGAGATTAATCTCAACAACAAAGGGTGTTATTTCCTCTTTTGTTCCCCATTGTCAGTTGCGTTAATAATCCACAGCGGGTAGTTGCGTCGGATTCCTGAGGCGCCTAAAAGTTCTGAAAGACGGGGCGGGTTCACATCCACCATATATACATTCAATATAACCCCAATGGCATCCACAATCTCTAAGCGCCTCGATTGGTTCCAGACGCCACTGCTCGGGGGCCTAGAATGTGGGATAGTTTGGCAATCTGGAGCAAATTCAATGTCAATCTTAAATATATCAGATTGGAAATTGATTCCCAGCCAACACACAGTACATACATACATCGTCTCCCGGGCCCTGACCGGTGCCGCCGTTCGTCGCTCGTGTCGGGGTACGGGAAAATTACCCTGCTTTTCTTTCTTTTTCTCCCTATTTTCAGGATGGATGAACGAGTCTGTATTAGGTATGACTGTGCATTACATAGAGTAGGTGGTATGAGGGCCGGCCGACTTGGTTGCGCACATCCTTTCCCCCTTATTTTTCTTTGATACGAAACCCTACATGACTTGCACGATTGTACTGATCTTGAACCTTAAACCAGGTTTACTTGGCTTAACAATTACCAACCTACTATTATATATGCTAGAAATATGGGTCTTACCGTGTACGGGCACTGGATCCTAATTTACTAATTGTCGATCTGATACGTGGTTGCAGTTGTCTCATTGGTACGCCCGCACTGAATCAAATCGTCTTATTGGCACCGCATGGTACTGTAAACCCCTACTCTTGATTGTAATTCACTGATTGGGTGCCTTACAGTGCTACTTAATAATAGTACAATCCGAAGCCAATTAAGTATTCAATGCGCCAAGGTGAGCTTTTACTATATCCTGTCAAACGCGTACCACCGCAGGAAAGCCAGCTGTCGAAGATTATACTGTCATGATCAGGAATATCATAAGAATCGGTGTGTTTGTGCTTTAATTACTTGGTTGTTGTTACATAATTATCGATGCGTGCACCACAGCGCGTATAGTAGTTACATGAAGGTAAATGTTCAACTTCCTCCACTGCGAATTCTTCTTTCATATTTTACATTTCACATTTCAAATACAGGCTGTGATGGCTTACTGTCATGATCTTTAATTGTCTCCTCTATCATCAAAGTCAATTATCGGCATATCGCCCGAGCTAGATCAAAAAATTCGACTATCGAGATCTGGTTGTCTAGGACGGTTCGGTACGTATGGGCCTCCCTTGCTTCAGTAATCCTGCACTCAAGTGCAGATTTGTTTATATCTATCAAGATATAGGGAAATACTAAAGCATAATAAGACGGATATAAATGTATTGACGAGAAAGGAAGGAGATACATAGCTTATGCTATGCTCAAGATCGAACTCTTAACAAGAAACCCAACAAGGTGCCGAGAAGCGAGTGCAAATGAATACATAGGAGCTTGAGAATCGTGAGATTGCTCAAAAGGAAAAAGGAAAGAAAAAATACCTCGAGAACCTTACAACACAACAACAAATCAAGAGATAACCTACCAGTAGCCTTTCTTTCAAAACCTTCCACTATCGCGAGATCCCCGGGAGATCTCTGTCTTGCGTAATTGCATAAGGCAAACCAACATTTGCCTTGCTTTACTCCATCTACATATATAGAGCTAGAGTACGCATCATACATTCTCTATTGGCCTATCGGAATAGCTAGGTAGTGGGGTAAAATTGGAGTTTCGTGAAGAATACTGTGCAGCTCGTGCCTCATGGAGGTACGTGCAGAGCAACTGGTGATCGATTGATTGACCTAACCTACCTACTAGCAACATCTTCATGATATCGGTACTTATCCCCCGAAATGGTAGTTTTATCCACGGGGCCGTATTTTTTTCTCTTGACCCATGGCGCCCGCTGTTCCGACGAGCCTAAACAACTAGTTAGTACAGGGCTGCTAGACTCTAAGCTAGAGATTTCTCCTGGGTGTTACGGACATCAGAAGGAAAGAAAAAAATTGTTTCCTTCCCTCCCTTCTTCGGTCAAACAGACATGATCAGCTGGATAGCCAGGGATAAGTAAACGAAATTTTCACGACATCTCGCATGCATGTGGCTTTTAAACAGTGGGTAGGGAAAACCACTAATTTTTGCTAGCGTTACATCTACTAGCTAGTGTGATGGCGTAGCAGGGTAGAGCCTGGATAACCAGGGTCAATGATACTCTACTCTTAAAGGACGACCTCAAGATAAGCTTCCATTCCCCGGTATGGCGGAAACAAGTGGTTCGCCCATTTCCACGGTACCTACCAGTGTAAGATTCTCTCGATAAGCGTTCCCTGGGAACAAGCATACCTGGAAACTAAAGTACATATACTTGCAAAGTGCAATAAGTATTAAAACTACCAGTAATCAACATGTACTACAGTGCTGTATGTACCCATAGAAGGCAATGTGTATCTAAACATTGATCTTTTTGGTTTGATGTTTGGTTTGCGGTTTTTCAGAAAACCCGCCGCAAAGTTTTACTTGCAGCTTGCATTTCAAGTTCCTTTTACCTACCTTAAGTATCCACTCCATCCGCAATATTTGGAACTGCAGTATTTAATATGGCTTCCCAACGCACCTTCGCCCCGTGCATGATGTAGGCCGGTTTTTCAGGCATATATGTATTATTAGAGCCCATAACTCTTTTTTTGTTTGTTTGTTTAATTCATTAATTGCATTAGAGCCCATAATTACTTGAACTCGTTATTACTATTAATTATCATCATTAATTGATGTACAACCGCCACGCAACCACACAAGTAAGCAAGCCAACGTTGTTTGTGACGCCATGGATCACATCCGTCCGGATCAATCCATCAATAATATTGATGAATAGCTTAATCTTATTTATTCTAGTGCTGCAACTGCTGTACCTACATACTTATATTTCTACCAAAACTGCGTTATTCCGCATCGACTCCTGTAACCTACCAACATACACTCACGCAGTGTCACGAAGAACACTAGGATAGGAAAGGTTTCCCCTCCTTGCGTGCAGCATATTCCAGTCAATATTTCAATCGATCCTCGGAAGGGCATCCTCTGCCACGCTTTATACCAACGAATCGGGGCAATCATGCAACTGGAGATTCCGGGGAGTGATGACGTTCGAGACTCCCAGATCGAAGGAAATACCCCCCCAGCAGCTAGCTGCATGCCAGCTGGAGGAGAAGAAAAAATATCCAGATCATAATGCAATGCAGGAACATCCAAAGCTGAGCTATATGATAAAGCAGAAAGTTTCTGGGGGGGTTACGGGGGTACGGGTAGAGGCATCCCTTATAGGTCAGATAGACTTCGATGTACGGTACGGTGATAAGACAACGGGTAAAGCTTGCCGGCCGGTGGATATGCACGTTGATCTTGGTCTTTGACCTACGGATATCGTCTCCGCAAGGTGAGGTTCATGAAGCGATGGGTTGCGGGCTGTTGGGCTTCATCAATTATCACCCACTCTTGGCAGAACGCAATTTGGCGCTTACGGCGTCTGCATACTCGTTGTAGTGCCGATACCACCGCCCGGCAGTATGAAACCAGCATTGATGTGCCGGAGAACAGAACTTTATTTCTGGCGCTCGTCATATCTCTAACGACCACGGTGCCACGCGTGACAAACATGATATCGATCCTGCGTTCCTTTTTTTTAATTCTTTTTTCCGCATGCAAACACGATAATGATATATGAGTGGGGTAAATCAATTATATGCAACTACGAAAGTTCACACCTACATTAATGCATTACATGGTCGGGAGAAAGATCTTCAGAAGCGTACAGTTTCAATTACAGTACTGTATACAACCAGTATAGTTATATATATATAACCCAACTCATCAACTAATTTGATCCTACATACCTCATGATCAAACTAGTACACGTGCGTACTTCAGGTAGATTGCGCGATAAATAATTTGCCATTTTCTTGCATAACATAACGTACAATCTAAGGAGTACACTCCTCTCTACATGACGAAAACTGAAAGACGAAATCTAAAATAAAAAACGCGAAATCTATCTCAAAGAAGCCCCCGAATAATTGGCAGAAACAAGGGGAGTAAACAGCAATAAGCATGCGCCGCCATAAAATTAAAGTTGAGGCGAGAGTACATGCAGTATAAACCTAACAGCGGGAAAAAGGTGTATAGGAGGGAAAGAAGTGAATTGAAAAAGCAAAAGCAAAAACAAAAAAAAGAGGTCGCGGTTCTCCATCCCCACAAAGCAAAAGAAAAAAGAAAACCCCAAATTGAACCCCTCAAAGCTCCAGCGTTGCACTTCTAAACTGAAAAATCCGAAAAATCTAGCGGTGATATGCGCCAAAAACTCCGTGTGCAAAAAATTATTCCTCGTGCATCGTGTGTAAATCAATTGATTTAGCACCCTTTGCCTAGCAATGCGAAATAATTTCCAAAGCGAACCATCGTTTTGGATTCTAGTTGAAGTATGGAAAGTTTCTTAGAGTCTCGGACCCATCGTGGGAGTCGTAGAGGAATGACTCAGAGTACTGTTTCGATGCCCCCAGTTCTGAGGACATCCAATATTTCGAATCGGTTTGCGGCACACTTAGGACTTCTACTGGAGTAGATGTGAAAGTCGCTGGAGCAAATGAGGTTGGTGCAGTTTGATCTGAGCAGTGGAATTGCTCGGTTCTTGATCCATTTCTGCCAGGAATGAACCCGCAGTCCGGGCAACCAACATCAATGCAAGGGTTGAGAGGCCCGAAACCACAATTAGGCTTTATAGAAGATATATTAGAATACATAAATAAAACTCAAGAATAGGATACCACTTACACAGTACCACGGAGCTGGAGGTGCCGTTTTGGCCATTCCAGAGGATTGCATGTGAATCATATTTGAGGTTGAAGATTCTTGATCGATTGTAAAGGTAGACATAATGGGATTCCTGGATAAGTTTGGGAGAGAGATATCTGTTGTTATGAGGCAGGCGTTATATATGTTGAAGGCTGTTTCGAATGATGTCCCTTTCACCTTCGAGTGGTCATGTCTTATATATTATTCTTCAGATAGAAGAATCCAGGATAATTGAGGTTCCATATGACAGTCAATGATGCATAGCCATGCAAAGAGTCAGTATTCGGAAATCCTGCATGATTAGAGAAATTTTTGACCAAGCCCTAAAGAACAGACAAGGCAAGAGTCCATAACATCCAAAATTCAAACTATGTCCAAGGCTCACAAACACCGTAGGATCATGACGAAGTCCCACGAACAAGGTTTTGTTGTGCTTAATCGCTTTCTGTTTCCAATTCAAGCTACAGCTCTCCTTTGGCGGTAGTAGCATAGCCATGGCAAAAATTCGCACAGTACGTAGTGCCTCATGACACGATACATCGTTTCCAAGACTCTAGAGTGACTGTCACTCATTCACGAAATTATGGCTGGCGCGGTATAGAGCGGGTTACTTCGGATCTTCAGGTAGACCTCATGTAGACCCGATGTGTAAGAGTTCTAATGGTGGCCTGTGGGAAGAGCTTTTGTAACCCTGGTACGTGCGCATTATAGGAAAATAGTATCTTGGAGGCCTGTTGCAGTAAAGAGTCATATACAGCGTAATCAGTTGGAGGAATGCTATAGGCTAGTACTAACCTAACTTAATATAAAGAAAAAGACACAACAATCAAGAGGTGAGTCTAGCAAACAGGTATCGGTAGTTGAGACGAATGAATGGCCACAGAAATAGTTCGTTCGGTGTCAGTTGACAATGTCTTTCCCTTGTAGGTGTAAATATGTAGTACTGCTTGGACGTGAGACGCAGGCACAGAGCTAGAGAGAGTTAGATAAATATTATCTGCCTCATATTTGGTTCTAAGGATTCCTCTGGTATGCACAAACCAGGGTACATTATTGCGAGAAGTTTAAGGTGAGCGATATGTTGTAGGCAGTGTATGAGAAATTGTACAAACCCAGAGCTAGCTAGAGGTGAGCTTGGTGGGCGCAATGGGAGAGTGCTAGCTGCCATGGTACCTACAGATTCTATGATGTTGTTGCTAGCCCTAAGGGCTTGAGCCGCAAAATGGGCTGGTACCAAATAAGTCCAGGTACATACACATATATGCATTGCTGCAGCATGGATGATCTTCCATTTTCCCGGAATATCGAATAAGGAAGTGGAGTAAGCATACATGTAGGCAGCACTCAACATAAGAGCCTCCTTTTGCGCTCGCGCCCCAACCACCGATTTATGGCGCGCGGCTCTGTGAAGGTAATGTCATGAGTACACGCGTTAAAACCATAAGGTTTCACCTTGTGGTATATATTCTGCCCTCAAAAATTAGTACAGAAATTTTCAGCGTGCGTACTTCATTATTTCCCCGTTATGAGCACCGCCATGACCATAATTCCTTGTGCGCACAAGACTTGTGGCTATGATGTAGCTGAGATCATAGCAGCACAGGTTAGCGGGACACTAGGGCTGAATGATTAACATTATAAAACTCTAGATACTAAAGTATCTATTAATCTGGAACATCTTATCGATAACAAGCTTAGGATTCGGCCCAATTTACCGTAGTCGGGACTTAACGTTTGCCATAAAAGTCGTTATCGAGTGATAAGATACCCCATACTGTCAACTAAGCCGTCAGGTTGACTAGCAGGATGTCACTCATCCCATGAGCATAAAGGTGAGTCACGGACAGGTAAGTACTCGTAGTTTCCTGGCGTTTTTGGACTGGGCCACTATTGCACACACCCAAAATCAGGGTCTTGGCGTATTTTTGTATGGTATGCAATATCAGTCGCGTTCAAAAACGTCAGGAAGTTACGAGTAAGTATGTATGTATGTATGTATGTGTGCACATACGTACAGACGTCTGAGACCGTTGTCCAGGAGTTTCCGGCGGATCAGACTCTTTGCTTTTGGAATCGATAGATATTGCGTATATTCGGAGTATCCACCTAACGAAAGCAGAAGAATGGGTACAAGCGAAAACGGGGGGTAATGAGGGGTTTCAGCTATGTTTTGCCTATCTGGCAAAGTTCTAGAAAAATCGCCCATGTGGATTAGATCTACCGGAAGCTGATATTCAATCAGAAACAATCCATTGGCTCGGATCCATTTCTATCTTCAGCGTCTGTATCTGTTGACTGCCGCCTAGTCCTAGTGGTACTGCGTAATTAAACCTAGTGATGGATATAATGAGTCGTGGGCGATTGTGTTTTGGGACGCGACGATCAATGTTAACTCTCTGACTCGACTCGTTCAGATAATTGACAGTAGTAAGTGAGAGGAATGTTTGTGGGGCTTGCGAATTTTCGAAAGGCTGATTGTTTTCCTTGTCTAAGAATCCAGCGGCGGATCCCGAAGTGTTCGCGGGGTTGACCTAAACTTTTCAGCTGCAGGACCTTCCCCTTGAGGAACTCATTTCTGAAAGAGACGAGCTACAACAATGAATGTCGTTGTGCCTTAGGAAGTACAAGAGGTTGAATCTCGGTGTGTCATTAATGATGATGGTTTAATAACTCATAATTTTGATAAGAAGTGGAGAGTCCCCGCTGTCTGTCGTGTTTTCTGTTCTTTTTGCAAGGCTAATTAAAATGATGTAAAGGCTCTCTCGCTAGCTTCTTATACTTGTTATTGCCACCGCTTCAGCTCGTTTCTTTAAAATCTTCTCATGCGCATCAAATCTCGTACTTTTCTGACTGTTGAGCTGTTCCACTGACCATTCCGCTGGATATTTGGTGACGGTTTGGGATACTCAACTTCATTGTGTGTCTTAAAATGAGTCGAGGTCCCAGAACTTCGAGCTGAGGTTGCGGCTCCATAGAATTGCAAGGATTTTGAAGATATACTGACTCTTTGAAATGCGTCAACTTTGACTGAATAGTAGTTACACTATATCGATTTGGAAAAGTATATAAGAAGCTCCTCTGCTGCCTCTATTTTCTTTTAGAAGGCTTTCAAAAAAAAGAAAGAGAAAAAAAAAAAAGAGCGGAAACGCCTAACTTTATGTTTTGTAGTTCCTGGCTTCGGGCTCTGTCGATAGCGGTTGTTTATATTATGAATCCTATCCAACGATGCATATTGCAAAATTGGGAGTCTGTGACGGTTCTTCTTGTGAGACAGTAAACGTACTTGGGACGAATTGCAGTATTTTCCGAGATAATGACACCGAGACAAGGGTTAGGGTTGATGACCAAAAGTATTTTACCAGTGATACTGTCACGAATCTGACTTAAAAAGGCAGAAAACTGGGAATACCGTGGGTGCGTCTATATAGATATCTATCAATTTCAGCCCTCTCTTGTAAGCCCACATAAAAACATTTTGATTTATAAGTTGCCTGGAGTCCTGGATGACTTTAGAATCAAATATTATATGGCCCCCTCAGATAGGGCAATTCTTTAGATCCGTCCATCATATATTTAGAAATATGATCAGAGTAGGTATGGTCCTTTATGTACTGTGATATACTACGGCCGATGTAAATGTGAAATTTAAGATCGTCAATTCGATCTTGAGGTGTTCCTGCTAAGAAAATTTTATAATTGCTGAACCTAGTTTGAGTTGACTAGGCATGTGAAGTTGTAGGTTTTTAACTGGGTGGAACGTGCGATTGCTCCGCCCTCGGGCTCAGTTGGTTCCAGTTACGCAGCCAATAGCGCGAGACATGAGAATAAAACTGATTTGCATTTTCTCGATTGTCTTATCCCTGTGTAAAACCTCTTACCCAGCCCAGTCCAGTTTATGTTGACGTCATGAGTGGGGTTGGAGTTTTCGCGATCATAAAAGCCGAGGTTTAATAGTTGGCGATAGCCAATAAAAAACATGCCTCGAAATCTTTATCAATGATGCCTGCGTTGACCCAAGATCATACTAGATGGGGTGATAGAAAGATAGGTTATAGAGGTGGAGGAGAGAGGGGTAGAGGTGCAGAAAGAGGAGAGGATGAAAGAGAACGAAAGGTGAGGTTGTGCCAATATCCTTACATGTATGTACCTACATGTAGTTTGCTCTACCACGCACTAGCTTGCTGGTTGAAACAAAGGCTTTAACCAAAAGTAGTCTAATGAATAAACAAGCTTTTCTGCATCGTTGACTAGATGTCATGTGCTTCATGAGTAGGAACGATTGCCTTATAATACGTGCCCCTCTAGATAGATTTATTCGTAACGAATTCTTTTCAGTTTTAGCACTGATAATGGATTAGGCTTCACTTGGGCATGCGCGTTTTCTTCCTTTTTCGTTTTTTTTTTTTTTTTTTACCATGCCATCCTTGCCTTCATGTATCGGATATATACGTATTGCTGATGAATCATATTCAAATTGCCGCACGTGTTGTGAGTGAAAATCCCTGTTCGCACAGGCTTCGAGTGACAGAACATGATCTGAAATTGCAGTAAAGTATATATAAATCACGTTATCAGTACCTTTCAAATACATATATAAGAATCCCAGCTAAAACTCCAACTTCCTCTTCAAGAACTCAATCGTTGTCTCCATAGCACCCTCAAATACACCCTTCTCAAAGAATGTAAAGTGTCCTCCCTTGTGTATCGACAACTCTTTGGGCTCACTTGCCTGGTTAAACAACGACAACACCACATCCGGTGCACAAAGATTATCATTGTCCGCCTGCAAGAGCAACCACGGTGCGGGACTGATCGCTTGGATATAACCCTCCGGGTTGTAGTTAAACAAATGGAACATACTCTGGGCCGTGTACTTATTCACCCATTTCGGCGCCTTGGTCTTCTGAAGCCCAAACAAGAATTCCTGCGCGTCTTCGGTGGGAACAAACGAGGGTATAGCAGGGTCTGAACTGGTGATCATCATAGTCGCACCCTCACCACCAGCGATGACATTCTCTCTATCCGCCCTAAGCATTGCATCCACTTGAGCCCTCGTACTCCGTAACATATTGCGGTTCAGAATCTTCACGGTTGATATCATCGGTCCGATAGTTACAACGGCCTTAACACGCTTGTCGATAGCGGCAACCTTTATACAATGGCCACCCGCAAGTGAGAATCCCCAGATGGCGATCTTAGAGGCGTCGACTTCGGGCAGTGAGCTCAGGTAGGAGATGGCGTCATGATAGTCTTCAGCTTGTTTATGAGGATTGATTTCCCCGCGGAGTGTGCTGTCGCTTGACCCGATGTTACGGTGGTCGTAGACAAGGGATGCAAGCCCGGCTTGTTGGAATAAACTGGCGACAACGTCGAGGTTCATTTCTTTAGCAGCACCCCACTAGAGAAGTTAGTGACCATGCAGCTTGAGTTTAGGGAGATTTAGGGAAACGTACGCCATGAGTAATGACAATAGCAGGAGACTTTGAAAGTTTGCTAGAAGCAGGATAGAACCAGCCGCGGAGAGTGAGGCCGTCAAAGGCTTTGAATTCTACGTCTCGCCTTTCGGGGGAGCCTTTGCAATCAGGTTCTTGAATGTACGTGTAGGCCATTTTGGAGTGTCGTTCGAGGATTAAGATCTGATGGCAATGGAGGATGTTGGGATACCAGTGAGTTGTGAGGAACAACGTCTTAAAGGTGCGAGAACGCACCCTTATATACCTCACGCCATTGACTACCGAGGAAGTCAATTCTTCGTCTGAGCTCGAGCAATGTGGGGTATTCTCTCGGTCTCGACTCCCCCTGAGAAGTTGTGGTTGCTGATCACGGACGTATACGTATTTGCTTTATGTCCGCAAACTCCCAAAACATCCTCAGGTTACAAATCATGATGTGAGCAGATACCTATTTATGATATCCTGTGTAAAGAGTGCAGCTGGATGTTGGATGGCGTTGGACCCACAGGCAGTTTGTTGATCTTTGCTTCTTTGAGTTGCGGGGGTGTGTATGCGCATGCACCAACGCTCAATTGTCATGAAATATCACTCGATATTAAAAATCACTTAGGTAGGCAGCGTGCATATATAGAAAGTGGATACTAGCGATCATAAATATACATGTATTGGCCCATGGCCACTGGCTCTTGGGTTGTTTCAATTAGTCCCCGGACCGAGAATCACGTTTCCCTTGATGGAGATGTTCAGGCAATCCTTGGAAACTGTCAGATAAGAGGTTTTCCTACGGCTTTCAGAACTGTTGGGGCTGGTACTCTAGTGAAATGTGCACGGCCTTCTCTTTACCTTAGCTTCTAGGGCGTTCGTTTTAGAGAATGCTTATGATTGCTTTATCCGCATCTTGTTATACGAGCAGAAGAGCACCCCCAACCACCGGAAATTTAGTTGAACCAACAGAAAAATCGCTCTAGTGCCGTCTTTAGGTGCCGAGCGCAAACCCGGATTTTGTTCTGGAGGTCCGCGAATGCCACGTGTGGTCAAGCATCGCTGTGGTGGAGCCGCACGGCCCGCAGTCAGATTGTAAATTGGCCTGAGGCGCCTCAACTTTATCTGCAGTGGAATAGACTCCAAGTACAGTCGTTCGCCGATATAACGAATGCCAAAAAAGCCACAAATTTGCTATAACGAACGGGTTTCGGTGATCCGAATCTAAATTTCACATAGAAACTTGCCTGCTATACCGAATAATCTACTGTATCGAACGGAAAACTTTGGAATATGCACGTTCGTTATATCGGCGGACGACTGTACTGTCATTCACGGGGTATTGGCGGACACTGGGTGTTGACGGACAAGCCAAAAAAGAGACAGCCAAGCCAAGTTTTGTCTTCAATTTGTCAAAATCCAGTGTCCGCCAATAGCCCGTGAACGACAGTACAGGCTACCTATAGTCTGTAGACTTAGTGCGGAAGCAAACCTCCAGTCTCCCCGATAGGTTGACCCGCTGGTGGATATCGAGTGAGGTGCGGTGACGATGTTCTTCTACCCAATGTAGACAGGAATATATCTCGGTTTAGATTGGTTCCTTTGGAATGCGACGGGTTATTTAAGAACAATACGCACCGTCGAGGTAGAGGGGTAGATAGTTAGTTGTATGTTTTCTAGGAGCCCGCCAAGTACAGCATCGAGAGTATTAGTGAGAAAGGCGTGGCTACATGTAAATACTTAATCGTACGACAATTCGAGAGGTTAACTGCTTGCCAATAGTTATCGTCCTGTTATGTGGCAGGAATTGTCATTGGGGGGGGGGGCACTTCACACCGAGAGCGTCTGGTTTAGCAATAATTACCTCATGCCTACTCGCAAGATATAGAGGTTTCTGGTGGAAAAAATATTAAAAAGAATTGCCTAGCTAGACCTTAGATAACTAGGAAGAGATTACTAGCCATTCCATTCAGAGACTGACAAAAAGCTGGAGTGACCGTAGGAGCACACATAAAGTAGAAATTATGTTTTAAGTTGAATATAATGGTATTTGCCTAAAGGGCCATCGATGTTGTCGAAGTGGTGGTCATCAGCGTCCAGTGGCGGAAGTATTGGAGGGGGCTCTGATCTGTGACGTTCTTTCTCTGCACCCACATGCACAGTCACTTTCTGTCCTAGTTAGTCACGGATCACCATTGTACTTTACGACCAATCAAGTCTTTCAGCAAGAAGCCCTCTCAGAATATATATGTTACCTCCCGGCAATCAATATTGCCTACTTTCATAGCCGGCGGCATGATATGAGTGGAATGGGGATTTATGATCGATCGTCAAATTCAAGCACATACCCCACGAAGACAGAGGTAACAGACAGTCATCATGCGCAGTTGTTGGAAAGGTATCACCAACTTGCCATCATTTGGCAGGACCTGGGACTCCAAGTACCTCTTCATCTATCGTAAGAACGCTAATAACTAAGCTAACATTACTGATGAGACTCTATATCTCAACTCACCGCTACGATAAAATTAAACTAAGCATAAACCAAGCTTCAGGCAAAACTTACCTCTATCCCGAGATATCGTCCACAAATTGCTTGATCAGCGCCTAAACACGCGCAAACACGCACATTAGCATGCACCCCAATCACATCAAAAATAGAGTGCGAAAACAAACCTGCATATCTTTCGCTGCCTCCCTCCCAGTTTCCAAAACCTCCTCATGGTTTGCCTTTCCCATCTCCATTACACCCTTCAGCTCGCCACCATCCTTCCCCTCGACCAAGACCGCATCACCTCTTGGTCCCTCCTCCAATACCGACTTATTCGTCACCAGACTCATTGCCAGCACCCGAAGCCCGCAGTGCCGCGCCACAATGATCTCAGGCACCGTACTCATACCCACGCAATCCGCGCCCATCATTCTCAGCATCCTACATTCCGCACGGGTCTCGTACGACGGTCCAGACACGAATACATACACGCCCTCGTGGAGCTTCCGGGTCTCTGTCGTGCCCGGCAGCTTCTTATAGCTCTGGTGCACAACCTTTCGCAGCTCGAGGTCGTATGCATCCGAAAGAGCGGGGAAGCGCGGGCCCCAGGCGTCTTCATTGGGTCCTCGGAGAGGATGCGCCCCAGAGAGACCAGGAAGATTAATGTGCTGGAAAGGTTAGCTTGGGAACAGCCTGGAGGGAAGGGGTCACTACGTCGTTGATGATCATCATGTCGCCGACGGAGTAGGACTGGTTGAGCCCGCCGGCGGCGTTGGTGACAATGATGGTGCTGATACCAAGAAGCTTCATGACGCGGGTGGGGAAGGTCACTTTCTCGATCGAATGTCCTTCGAAGAAGCTGTTTGTGCAATTGTTAGTCCTGTTCACCGCCTGGGGGGGGGGGGGGGGGGCAGGTGCTTACTGTACGCGGCCAACCATCATCACGACGGGGGTCTTCTTCTCGCCGAGGAGGCCAAAAACGAATTTACCGGCATGACCGACAACTGCGGGGGTGGGTTAGCTAGGGGTTTGGGAGAGAGAACGGGCTGACTGACCGGTGGAATGGGGGAAGTTGGGAATCTTGGTGTAAGAGATTTCGAATTGAGGAGAGCTGTGGAGCGTCTCTGCGAGACCGCCGAGTCCGGACCCACAGATGATACCGATACGAGGGCTGGAGAGAGCGGGGGGAAGCTGTGCCCTGATGTGGTCTGCGGACTGGGTTGCGAGGGAGATTGTAGTGGTGGTAGTGACTTCGGCCATTGTGACAGAGGAGCTGGGACTTTTGGTTTTGACGGCGGTGAGGATGCGGATGAGTATAATTGATAAGAGGGAGAGCCAAAGGTTGAGGAGATATGCTGATTGAAGTGTTGAAGGAGGTGTTCGGGGGAGGTGTAGGAACCTCCCGTCGGTTGTCATCGCACAGCAACGGAACTCGCCGTCACCCCGCGCACCCCGCCATTTGTGTTACGGGGAGAGATTATATTTTCACAAGAACTCACTCACTCACTCGCTGTTCTTCAACAATCACCCGTAGCCATCTATCCCTTCTTCTCATTATTAAGTGTATTGATTACTGCGCTACAAACAGTCTCCCACCAGCTCCACCAACTTCACAAACGCCTCACCGTCCAGCTCCTTCTGCTGCAGCCCCAACCCAACAACCAGCATCCGCCCCTCCTCCTTCCTGCGCATCGCCAAAACAGATGCAAGCTGGACGGCAATTGTCTGTCCAAGCGCCTCCCGCTCCGGGACAGTTCCGCCAAGGAGGGTGGTTGGCGTCAAATGAGATAGTGGGAGAAGCCCGTCTTCGTCGTCGGGTGACTTGCCTTCGAGCAGACCGGGATGGTGTCCGTCGAGGGGTACATGGAACTGGATAGATATGGAGGTAAGCACGCGTAAAAACCATGATACGAAGATAGGGCAGAAAGGTAGATAGGCATGTACCCATTGCGCAAGACGGCCTTGTTGCGTCAGAGTTATGACGATCTTATCGGCAAAGGAGACTACGCTGCAGTCGGTGTGAATGCCATCAATGAGGCAGGCCGACTGCTTGGTCGAAGCGGGGAACGGAGACTCGAGGATGGTGGCCATTTTTGTAGTGACGATAGGTAGAGAGCTACTTAGAGATGAGAGGTACTGTAGGTGAGAAGAGAGACGCTTAGCAGGGTTTGTTTACTTGTGGAACGTTGATGGGCTTAATTGATCCTAGAGATAGGCCCGTCTGCTAACTACAGATAGTAATCCCACTAACGATTGGCTACATGTACTGATGTGTGCCTAAATACCAATTGAGGATAGGTGCCGGTATTGTTTTACTACTATACCGATGCCAGGGAATGGTCCCCTGCAATTGGCGCCACCATTAGTGGTTCGTTCATGGAAGATCACTCGATCACATGTGGAATTTACACAGGGAGATCACTGGCACCGTGTGATTTGGGCCACAATTTTTCGAATATATATGTACTTGTTGCTCTATGGCAAAGAAGAAACACTAGTGGCAGATTGGTAGCTGTAATCTTATATCACCTGTGAACTCCCTGGATAGATATCAATCTCCAAGAAAGGAAGACTATCCTTTTATCAAATACATATACCTATTGTAAGCTCGTGAGACCAAGGGGGGAAGATCCAATATTACTCATAATGTACATGTGGTAAAAACTAGCCCTCTCTCTATTTGCCGAGAGAAAAAACAACTGGCCAGCTTGATGCGGTAAGGGTTGGTTTTTAGAAAAAACGGCAGCAAAAACTGCAGCAAGTCAGGGGGGGTTAAGCATATAGGTACACGTATTAATGCTCGATTTCACTGTGTGCGTATACGTAGGATAGGTATATATTCCATATCACCGCTATCACAAGAACTCCAATTCAAACTATATATGGTTCGGCCGATCAATAAATCAGATCCGGGATAGATTTGCTTGCCTTAACAGTACTGAGAGGTCTTTTTTCAACTTAAGGAATATATCAAGCAAGTAATTGGAATTGCTCTACGTGATAACCTATACTCGTACTCGTAGAGAGATGCCCCAGGAAAATTTTCAAGTACGGTCTAAATCTCATTGCCAGACAATATATCTCTTGGGGTTCTTACAGTCCCAAGTGCGCTAGATCTACCACGTCACGACAGGTCAACACCGGGCACGCAAAAGTATGGAACGGCGAAATTCTAGCTCAAACTACTAGGATGAAGCCTAACTGAATCCTTGCAATTGGCATATGATGTTTATATTGAAACCCATTCACACTCTCTCTTCCACAACTAGCGTAACTTAAGAACACTCTGCTCCCTATCAGGCAGGGGCTCCACTGGCCTCCTTGGCCCTTGGGTCCTCTCAGGAGAACCTGAGGGGGGCAGTGCCTTCCCCCCTCCCTGGAGAAGGGAGGATTATATAGTTTGTCCCCCCCGCCTCCTTTAGGGGGGGGATTGTAATCGCCCCCCCCCCTTTTCCCCAAATCTCGAGGAGGGTTGCCATTCTTTTCCCGGGCCCTCAAGCGGCGGGTGCACACATATCCCAGCCACCCTTATCTTCTGTGTGAAGAGGGGGGCGCGCGGTGTGGGTGCGGTTTGCCCCCCCTCCTCTTCCGTGTGAAGAGGAAGGGGGTATTAACGCAATTCGGCCCCTCCCCTCTTACCAAGAGGGGAGGGGCTTTTTTTTGCGTTAACTCGTTTGCCCGTTCCAGGCCTTAGGTGACACCGAGGCCTGGAACGGGCAAACGGGTTATATGTACTATGGGGTTTCCTTGCCTCCTCTTCATACGAAGAGGAGGGGCTTTTTATGCCAAGTCACCCCCCGCCCACAAGCCTGCCATTTCTCCTTCGTATTGAAGGGGAGGAGGCTTTTTTGCGTTGAGTCATTTTCTCCGCCCCTGTTCGGTCCTGGGTGAAACCGAGGGCCTGACAGGAGTTGAAGAATCTCTTCCAGTGGAGGTATATGAGATTAAGGTGTCATATACCTCGCGCGCGAGGTACTAATATATGTAGCCCCAAGATTCTGAGGGTCGACTCGTTCTATATATATACGTATATATACAATTAATGAATTGAGGGCCGACTCGTTTCGGTTGACCTCATCCCTTGTGAATGATCGTAGATTGATATTCTACGACTATCAATAGTCAGCTAATGCCTCAAGAAATATAGAGACGACTGGAGGCAGAGGTAACTCGATATCACCCCTCCTCGTTGTACGTACATACATGTACGTAGTTCTCTTTTGTTCCCCGGCCAATGCCAATACATTTGGCGAGTGAGCGTTCATGACGCTAACCAGAATGGTGGGAACTGAAAAGGGCGGTGACCTCTAGGGCGTAGTGGCTATCTGAGAAGCCTGTCGGCCCGTATATACTACTAGACTAACTTCGCTTTTGGAATGGGGAGCTTCGGTCGATGGTGGGTAAAATGATTATATTTTCTTAAGGCAATATTAGAAATATACTCCAAGCTAGCGAAGTAAATGCATAAAAGTACACATTTCCCATACAAAATATCGAGGGAAAGGCACTAAAAGATGCATTAACTGACGAAGCTGTGTGGAAATGTATCAAGTGATACCTTTCCTTACATATTAAATGGATTTATTAGGGTTCGTATCCTAGAAAAGTAACATTTTTTTTTTAGCTATTTTCTTTTGTTTAATTCATTAATTGCATGCAACCTTGCAGTTATGGCAATTTTTCTTTTAGCTATTGTGGGTTAGGGTGGAGGGAAAATGGTCCAATTGCACTCAAGATGCATTTATATGTATAGTTCTAGTTGGACATAAGTCACCGTCCTTGCGCCAAAACACACCAAAAAACGGCGAAATCAGCCTTTTTCGGGTAGCCCCGGCACCCACAATTTTAAAATATAACTTATACCAATTGATAGAATACAAATTAACTATTAGGAAAATCATTGGAGGCTCTTAATTTCAAAATAAACATTGTAGCATTGTTGGTATAGCATTTTGTTCGGTTCTCTGAAAATGTGCCAAGACCTCGAATTTGTATAGGGTCTTAGCAAAATTCGACCAAATCCCAAAATTTGCAAATTCAAGGCCTCATAACTCTCCACATATTTGATGAAAAGAGCTACAGCTCAGAATATAGTTTCCTTTATAGTGTATGTTCCTATACTGAAAGTTCTATAGTAATTGATAAAGAATTGAAGGTTCGAGAAGGTGCTCATTTTTGCTAATTTTGGTGTGTTTTGCTTCAAGACGGTGACTTGTGTCACGGTACTGTAGCTGTACATTTAATTTACTAGTAGATCAGATAAATGGAAAGAAACCGCCAGCTCCTCTATAGAGTCTGCATGGGCTGAAGGGTGAAAAAAAAAAAAAAAGAAGGTGAAAGACAAGCCGAAATATAAGTAACTATTGAAAAACTCTCTTCGTATCCAACCAAGTATCAAGCAGGAGCCGGCCCAAATCTGTACCGAATAACAGGAAGCTCCTCTCCATGCACCCTCCTCAAATGTTGTAATAAATTATCCCTGCGGGAGAATCCTTTTACCCCAACCTTTTCGCACCCCGCCACAGTGCAATTAAGCAGCTCCTTCCTAAGCCCGTGCTTTGTCCGACAGTGGCGGTTGAAGTCGTTTTTGCTCTTGGAGATATGCGTACAATTGCCGGTGCTGAGGCAGGCGATGTGGAGCCGTCTCTGCAGGCGCTGGCATTTGTGGGGGCCTCTGGTCGTAGTACATTAGCGTGAGTTTGTATAAAGCAATTAATGGTGGATCTAAGTTGAAGCTTACAGTAAGTTCCCTTTACATTTCCCGCTGCAGAGGACCTCCGTAGAGGATTTCTCAGAGTGAACATCAACTACGGGCGCGGGAAGATCAAGAGCGGCCGGTTCTGAGACCTCTACGGAGGGGTTCTCAGGCTGAACATCAACTACGGGCGCGGGAAGATCTATGGCAGCTGGCTCTGCTACTATCAAAGGGTCCGGTTCGGGGATATCAAAGTTACACGGTGAGTCGAAGGGTAGGAGTTGGTTAAATTGCAATAGAGAGTTGAATAGCTCAAACAAGTCATCGGGGGCTTGCTCGAGTAGATCGAAAGGTCCGGGAAGGTGTTGTTCGTCCTCAGATTGTTCTGGTAGAACGTACTCGGAAAATGGGAATGAAATGGTGAAATTTCGATTGAAAAATTTAAAGAACTAGCTGCAGACACTAAGTCTGCTTCGCTCTGCACTAGCGCAAAGCGCCAGTGCAGGCTGTAAATAACAGAGCTCAGAAAAAGTAGGATAGTTTGAACCGAGCCCAGATGATAAGGGGATTTTGGCTATAGCTAGAGTTCGATGAAGTTTGCAAAAATAAGAGCTGGGTGGTAGCCATTAGCTGCAGCTTTATTCCCGATGTTTAGATCCCGAGAGCGAGCCTGAACAGGGGTCCGCGAGCCTGGAGCACCCACACTCTAGGTACATGTATGTAGGTGGACGTCCCAGTAATATTGTGCGCCTACATAGTTTTAAAGATGACGGCATTTGGAAGCTGTGGAACAAACATGACTCCTGGACCAATCAGAGGGATTCTTTGCTGTAATGCATGGCTCAAGTGGTACCTTTGGAGGTATCCCTTGGACAGATGAAACTCTCAAATTCGCAGCCTGGGCCGTGCACGCACTTAGTCAGGTAACCTTCTTGCTTTTTGTGTGCGGTAATAATAATACAGCCTATCAAAATCAGCATGAGTTACTGGATAGGACTAGAATTAGCTGAAAGAGGGAAGTTGCGAATTTGAGAGTTTCATTCGTCCAAGGGATAATATATGTATGTACGTAAAGTACGCACTGTTCCACTTTACACTTCCGAATTCCCTAAGGCTTTATAGATAGAAAATCGGTATGTATAGACAAAGTCTTCTTCATTATATGTATTATCTAACTTTTTCTTTGCGGATTTTTGATATCCGTTGCAGTGGTGGTGGCGAAGTCTTAGACGATTGACTTTATGCTACCTTTAAGATCGGGGGCACCGTGTACACTGTTTCCCCTTCCCCTTTATAATAGATATATCAGTGTTTTATTGATTCTAGGTATAGGAATCTAGATTTCGTGTAGATAATTATAACGCTACATATGGCGCGTTTTATGTATATCTAATATATAGTACTGAGTATATGTATTTACATATGCAATGGGTATTTTAAAGGTTTCGATTGGCCAAGTTTGAGAACCTCTTTTTGAGATGTGTCTTTTTCAATTATTCTTTCTGTTTGTTTCTGTGTGCACGTGTAGCTTGACGACTCTGAGTAATCCAAACTATTGATAGTTTCTAGAACGTCTGTTTGAGCCAGTCGAGCACACAGTGTAGTTTAGGGCTTCTTGTGCATTTGATCTTTAGGTTGGTGAAGTGATCGACAGACACTAATTTCACGCTGTTCAGGTCATATCCTCTGTACTCCGGCCTCAGCCGGAAACAACCTGTAAAGCATATATATGCACACGTATGTACACATATAATCTCGTGCCCCTACGAGCAGCAAGCAGCAAGCTACTCACCATGATGTGTGTACTACTCTATATATGTGCTTTATTCTAAGATAATCAATCCTCTCATACCTGCATATATGCAGTGTTGGTAATGACCCACGACCCCTAACGACCGGCCAATGTTAGGACCGGTTCGAGCACCATGGGCCGTAAAAGGCAATGACCGGTCAAAGACCCAGCCCCATCGATAAAATCGTTATGACCCGACCCAAAGCTGAATTTTTAGGACCCCCGGTCGTTACCAACACTGCAGGCTGCATGTGCCCAGGAGCATACATAGGCGGCCGGGCTGTTTGTGCGTAGCAACTTGATTCTTGTATTTTTGATCATTTCCCCCTATATGAGCTGCACCACGAAACAGCAAGGGTATCATTACGCTGTTAAAACTGTTAAAACTGCCAACTCTTTCATGTGGCTTGTATGCGAGATTCGCCGGATATTCCCATATCTCATGTTGGCAGTATTTAGATTATAGCAGGCAGATTTGTATGGCAACAGCATAGCTCCATTTTTGTTCGGGGCCCCGTTTTGCGAAAAGAAACTTGTGTTCGGTCAACCAACTAATTCTGTAGCTGCGTTAGAGCGTTGAAACAGGGTTTTCGAAAAGTGGGTAGAACCTATGCTCCGTTTTCACTGCTGCAGCCATCGCAATGCCATACCCCCACCCAAAGCCAACCTTAAGAACCAAAATCACAACTACATGTAGTGTTTGGCAGACCAAAACAGACCCGGTCTCCGTTTTCAAAAGCTTCATCTATCCCCGTCTAGCGGAGCTGTTACTTATAAACGAAGTTTTGAAACCTTCATAACGTTAAACGGGCCTAAGTAACATCTTAAAAGATAAGTAGGTACATATAGTCAACCAGAGGCATTTATTAACGCAAAGTATACAGAATAGAATAACCTTGTGAGTTTCTCAGATTTCGCGATAGTTATGCGCATATGCATTTACCCCCTGGACCCATGAACTTGACCAATGCTGCTAGTTGATCAATTGAGGAACTAGGATATTTGGGCCAATAGAAATCTGGAGGGCCAGGAGATCCTGCAGCTTGCGTGTTCCTTGCCATATATTTAATATATGCTCACCAACTAGCAGTATTTTTCGAGTATAATATCCCAATCCCCAGGACGACCTTAGTGTCCTTCAGCGAGTAAACTAAGCATGATACACCCAAGATTGACATATCCACTCTAAGCCTCAAAGATCAGTTACCATTCCCTGCCTAATTATCAAGGCATCAGAAGGAGTCCTATATAAAAAGTCACCCGTACCTGACTGATATCTCCCAGACAGCAAGCTGCCTTTCCATCACACGCCTCCCTGAACGGGATCTGAGCTATCGCATCGTCAACACAACCATTCGAATTCCCCGCTCATTTCCCACAGCGGAAGAACAACACCATCATGAAGAAGCATATCGAGTGGTAAACATTGAACGACTAGATCATCAGTGCCAGGGATGGTGCCGGCTAGAAGAGCTCCGCTGACGGTACCCAGTACTTTCTTCTCGACTCTGTTACAGTAGTTGAGGTGAGCGCTGCCACAGATGGCCTGAGCTTGACGCACGATGTATTCCCCGTTTATGCTGCCGGCATTGGGAGTGCTACTGATGACATTGCCGCAGGGAGTCCCAGTAACATTGGCGGTGGATGTAAAGTCTGCATATATATTAGAAAAAAGCAAGGCCGTGAGGTTTAAATAAGGTTCCAGAGCCTCTGACCGGCCACTTGTCCCTTTGGGGTATACATCAGGTGAAACCAATGCTTGATGGGGACGGCAAGGGTGGGGATGATGAGGCCGAAGAAAAGCATGTTTGAGATGGAGAATTCTACTTGTTTTTGATGAGATTTCGGAAGGATCGATCTCGTAGTGATCAGTGGTGGGTGAGTGAGTGAAGTATATGGAAAACTCTGTGAGCACTTGTAGCCTATATATTTCTCTTTCCCACCGATGTCTAACAGGCACACGATCGTGTTATATATCTTTCCTAGCTTCTGGGAGGGTCAACTACACACATACTCTATAAAGCAGCTGCATGCGTCTCGATTATATACTACGTAGATCTACGCTAGGGGCATGCAGGGGTGATATATGAGATATATGGGGATTCGGAGATACATGTACTTGCTGATTTGTCTTACAGGAAATTGGAATACCACTACTCGAATGGATATCATTTTTTTTGACATCGCTTCCAGGAGCTGGATACATATCTCTAGTGGACAACCATAGGTGACTGCGTCGTTTAGCTAAATCACTTCTAAAAAGACCACTGTTCAGCTAAATGACCATTCAACTAAATGACTCCTGCCTGCTATAAAAGAACAACCACGGGTGGCCTTCCTCTTCTTCAACACCAACACTTCAACACCACCAACACCTCCACGATGATCATCACCAATGACTTCAGCATCATCCCCTTCACCCCAATTTCCATCAAGTACATCTTATTAGATCAGTGTCCCATCTATTCCCCTCCATTCCCCAACTGTTCCCATCTGTTCCTTGCATGTCCCCCTACGTTCCCCCCTTGTTCCCTACGTTTCCCACCTGTTCCCTATGTTCTCCCCTTCTGCTAACGTAGCTCAGTTCTTGGAGTCACCATAACCATCACCGGTATCAAAGTAGGTCATATTCAGCCCACTGATTGGTATAGCCATTACTAATAGGTAGAGGCAGAGGCAGCAGTAGCAGCGGGGGTAGTAGCAGCAGCAGTAGCAGCAGCGGAAGCAGCAGAAGCAGCAGCGGGGGTAATAGCAGCAGTAGCATTAGAAATAAAATAAATTGAAATTTTTTTTTTTTTTGGTTTAATTCATTAATTGCATAAATAATTAATTAATATATGTATATATCTCTAAAGGACAAAGTCATTTATTAACGGTGGTCATACACACGACGTTGTCATTTAGACTAAATGACTTTCGCCACTTATAGTAAATTGACGAAGTCACTTATACTAAACGACTCTACCAAACGACAAAGTCATTTATAGTTAGCTATTAGAGTATGGCGTTAGCCGTGGGCACATGTCTTGATTTCCATGTTTGAAACAGTCTATTTCTACCGCCGGTGCATGTATTCCTGTGTTCGTTCATATACTGTCGGAGGAACAACTAATGTACATACATGTACATGTGATTCAGATGATTTAACGGCAATCTGACCAGTACGGTCACAGTCAATACATTTTAGTGAGTGCCATTACTGTCGGTAAAGGGCAGCGGTGAGATTCGGTCAGTTGGAGGAGCGTGTACATGTCCATTCAAGCAGTGAGACGATATCTGTATTGTGGATTATTTAAATACATGTTAACGTCTAGACCCCGTTCTTTGCAATAAACCACGTCTTACTAGTTTATCAACTACCACCTGATAAATTGAGCCAAATTTACATACCTGGGGGGCCCGAGCAAGCGCTAAAACTCCACAGAAACTATACGAGGGGAGAAAAACTTCGTACTCGGGCTCGGGCTCGTGGTCGCCAGGCATGCTTTAAATCCAGGCGTCTAGTGATAAAGGATTACCTCTCTCACCTTGCCTATCAATGTAACAGGCCAAAACTTGTTCTATATCAACCGGCCCATATAAAAGGCAAGGAACCCCCCGCCTTATTAAAGACCCCTGATTCTCTTAGGTATAACATGGCGATACGTAGGACAAGCATAGACATATATCAACATCAGAACTTATATTCGTGGGCAATTATCATAAACTACACTCGAATAGACGGCTAATTGTAGGGAATGGGACGTTGGTCGTTCCAATGTGGTGCTCGCTACTAGCTAGCTACATATAGCCCGTGGGTTTTCCTACAGTATTCGATCTGCTCCACCGAATGAATTAAATCTACGTGAGTATATACGTATAATGATCACCAATTGCAAACGCACGTTCGGCTCAAGCATGTAAGACCTCGATCTCGGAGTTCTAGTTATCACAGTCCCTTATCCTATCTGAATCTTGTACCTAGTAGAATGAACCAACAGTTTCTGACTTGCATAAATCATACAGTAGATACAGTACTAGTCCGAGTTTGGAAGGAGTAATGGCTGTTATCGATAAGGAAATGATCGATTAGTACCCCGCTGTAGATCTATATATGCACCTGCCTCAGCTTGAAGTACCGCCGACAACAGCTTCTTCACGACACCGATATCTATAATAGAGCTTTCTAGTCAGGTATTAATATATCCCAATCTATACCCCCTTAATTCAAGCAGATCTAATATATATATCATGAGAAGTAGCAGTCCAACACACTTTTAGTTTCATACCGCGATTGTAAATACCCATCATCATGGCGCCCCAAAAGATCATTATAGATACCGATCCCGGAGTGGACGATATGCTCGCACTTCTCCTCGCTCTCTCCGCCTCTCCCGACGAACTCGAGCTCCTTCTGATTTCCCTCACCTTCGGTAATATCAACATCGAGAACTGTCTCCGCAACACAGTCACGCTCTTCCATGTCCTCGACCTCGAGAAACAATGGCGCAGCTCCCGCGGCCTCCGCACCGGCTTCTCGGCCCTCGAAAAAACAAAGCCCATTGTCGCTATAGGCGCAGATCGGCCCCTTGAGGAACAATTAGTCACCGCAGACTACTTCCACGGCCTTGACGGCCTCGGCGGTGTCCACACTACTGTAATCAAGCTCTTGCTCCCCAAGACCAAGAATATCTACCGACCTGTACTAACCTCCTCTCCAGGCGCCTCATTTCACCCCCTCCGAAACGTGGTCGCACAGCTTCGACTCCACGGCCGCCACCCCTACACCCCCAAACTTCACACCCTCCTCCACACCCGCCCACCTTGAGATCCTCCGCATCCTAGCAGACAACCCGCCGGACACAATAACCATCATCGCCGTCGGGCCGCTCACAAACATCTCCCTCGCCGCAACCCACGACCTCACAACCTTCCTGCGCGCCAAAGAGGTCGTGATAATGGGCGGCACCATCGACTACGAGGGCAACGTCACCCCCGTCGCCGAGTTCAACCACTACGCCTGCCCATACTCCGCCGCCCACATCTATGCGCTCACCTCGCCGAACCCCGCCAGCACGCTGCCAATAGGGAGCAGCTTCGCGCTCGAGGAGGCCCCCGAGAAGCCGCTGAAGCTTAGCATATTCCCCCTGGACATCACCATGCACCACCTCCTCAGCGAAGCAACCTGGCGGGCCGCCACGGCGGACCTGAAGGAGAAGGGCAGCCCGCTGGCGCAGTGGTGCGACATCTTTGTGACGGCAACGTTCCAGAAGATGAAAGACATCTATCTCAAGAGCGCCGGCGAGGCCGGGAGGCGGGACACGGTCGACATCAGCATGCACGACCCGCTGTGCGTGTGGTACGCCATCTCAGCGCTTGCACGCGGGGAGGGGGGGTGGGTTGTGCACGAGGGACGGGACATCAGGATCGAGGCGGCGGGGCAGTGGACCAGGGGCATGTGTGTGGTTGACCGGCGGCCCAAGAAGGTTGAGGAGAACCTGGCGGAGGCGGTCAAGTTGGGGGATGTGGGGGTCTGGCTGCATAGAGGGCATGGGAACCGCGTGAGGCAGGTGGTGAAGAGTCCCGAGGGGACGGATGGGAAGTTTGGTGGGTGGATGCTGGAGAGGATCTTTGATGTGGTGTTGTAGATGTAGGATCGGGATTTGTTGTATATGGTGTGAGTTTTTGGTTGTTGTAAAAATGAAAGGATTGGAAATGATCGGATAGGCTTTTTCTTTTTTGGTAGCCGTGAAACTAATACTTGTATGACATGATTAATTGTATGCAGCCCAGCGAATACTTGCAAGTAGACCGTGTATAACTCTTGCATAAGAAGAGATTTCGAGGAGTACAGATGCGAGTGAGTTTTAGGCTACATGTAGGTCTTCAGCCAAGTCCACTGCAACTCCGAGTGGCTGAGCTACAATATCGATCATTGACCCGAAGGGACACGAACCAAATCACTGCACATCACCCGGCGCGGTGGCGGCGGTGAACAAAACCCTAACCCTCAACACTGGAATTTAACAATTTATTTTATTTGTGGATGTATCTACCAAGATAGAAAGCGAACAAGCAAGAACACATGTAGTCTATCTAACACATCTAAGGTATTACAGCCCCCCCCCCCCCCTTCCTTTTTCCAAACCTCAGCAACAGTACTGATATGACGGTACTAGCTGGGGACTGGGGGGGGCATCTATAGCTATCAAAACAATAAAAAAAGTCCAGTTATAGCTTCTAGTAGAACCTCCCAACTTTCGTCAGCCCCTCCTCATCCCCGCTCCGGATCTCGCCCTCCAGCTGGTCAAGCCCCAGCATCGACTTTGCAATCTCGCACCCCCGCGCCCGCTCGGCCTCAATCCGCTCCCACGTCCAGTACGCGTCCGGATGCGTCTCGGCCGTCGCCGTCGCCGCGTCCAGCTGCGCCAGCACCTCCTTCTCGCTCTTGTGCGCGGCGGCCCCGTTCGCCAGCTTCTTGATCTCGCCGTTTCCGCTTCCGTTTCCATTCGCGACTAGTGCTCCCGATGTTGTTGATACGGCCGCCTCGACGGGCCGCGGCGGCAGCAGCTGGCACTCGGTGAAGATCTCCTCGGGCTTCACGGTGATGCGGCCCATCTTGAAGACGTACTTTGACAGCGCGCTCGCAAAGATCTTCCTGCTGCCGTCCTTGTCCTTCCTGATGCTGACAAAGTGGCTCACGACCCACACCCACTTGCCGTCCCAGCCGAGCAGGCGCGAGACAATCTCGTACTTCTCGAACGGCTTGATCTCGCGGCGGAAGAGGCAGGAGACGCCGGCGAGGGCCACGTAGAGCGAGCGCCGCGTGCGCAGGGACCGCTTGATGAGGTGGCAGATGAGGTGCGTGCGCGCGATGTCGAGGTCGGAGAAGTAGGTGCTGTTGGACTTGTGCAGGTTGAGGTCGCACTCGTAGAGCGGGGAGCGGGAGGTGGAGGAGATGGGGGAGAAGAGGTGCGAGGTGGTGGGGTGCAGGGAGCGGCGGCGGAGGAGGTGGTGGAAGAGGGAGCGGTAGAAGCGGAACTGGGTGGTGAGGGTGTTAGTATCAAAAGCGCATGTGTGAATGAATTGAAGCGGGAATGGGGCGAATTGGGGGGGGGGGGGGGGGAGGGGAGGGAAGAAAAACTCACGTGCCACGTCAGGGGGATGTTCTTGATGTTGATGAGCGCCATGAGCACGAAGAAGAACTTGAACATTGTGCCCCAGCCCGGCGGGCCCGTCGGGGTGAGCTGTAGGAGCTTGCTGAGCGCGGCCATGGCGAGAGTCTCGGGCGTGGTGCTGGTGGTGTTGGACGCGGTCGTGGCGTCGAACAGCGGTTGGGAGGTGTTGGATATTGTCATCGCGCCCAAGGGGGAAATGGCAAAGCTTATATCTATATCGAATCTGAGGCTATGCGCCAAGAAGAAAAGACCGGAATGTGATCGATCAAAAGCTGATAGATGTGGATTTTGGCTGACTTTTTCGTTGCTCGTGAAAGGCCGAGGAATAAGCAATGTTTAGTTGGTCTGGCTGGCTGGCTGGCTGGCTGACTGGCTGGGGCTAGCTAACTGGCCGGCGCAGGGGTTTTGTGGGGGTGAATTGTAGGTACGTAGATATTGCAGCAGCGGTCACGTCCTCCTCGAGAAGAAGTAGATATGAGGACAATTGAGAAGACTGATGGAAAAGAAGAGGAAGAGGAGCCTTATGAAAGAAAGAGATCAGAGAGAAAAAAAGGGATTGTGGCCTAATTGTCCCGCTACGCAGCGAAAAGGGGATAGAGAGTTATGAGCGACAATTAATGCGCTGGATTTGGACGCCTATTAATACCCAGATCCATCCATTAGTTAGAGTAGAGCCTAGTTCGGGCCTATGTAGATTGCGCACCTCGCTTCGATCACTTCAACCTCAACCACCACAAACCACCACAGCAACATGCAACATAAACATAAAAAGCCCCAATCCCCCCCCCCCCTCCAGCGGAGCATCATTAACACCGGCTGCAAGACCAGACATGGAAAATTCGGAAAACCGGACTCTACGGCTCCGAAGGAAGATCGAAGTCTCAACAGAAAAAAAAAAGAAGACCCAACCGTGTCACCAAAGGAACCAATTAATGCCCTACACACAGCGGGTCGAGTAGCTACCCCGGGGTTACTGTTTGCTTATCAGATGCTAGCCAGGCTTGCCGAGGCACGATTCTCAGGGTCAGGGTTGGTGTTTGGTGCTGGCCGCGATCGTGTCTTGTGTGCTGGGCGGGCGGCATTGAGAGTCTACAGGGATGGCGGATGACGTTCAGTTGCTGTTGTTGAATATGATATGGAATCGTTGAGAGAGAGAGAGAGAGCTTGGTGGGGTTAGAGTATGCGATAAGGAAGACATGGTGAACGAAGCAAGGGCCGGGGGGGGCACGTAGAGTACCTCAACGATATCGTCACCCACCGGGCATGGCAGTCGGGGCCCCCATAAGCTGTCAAATAGGCAGAAAGGAACTCGACATGTGTAGCCTGTAAGTGCTGCTTGCAATTGCAGAGTAGACTTGATAGAGTCGAGGGAAACGCACTCTACCGAGCCCGCTATCTATATTATCATATCAAGCGACTGTCTCACAGCTGCAGTCCCACGATACCTACAGTTTTGTCCTTTGTGCTTACTATCCCACCATGTACCTCCATTGTTTACTCACATCAATATGTATTTAAAGTTTGCAAGACAGTCTTACCCTCCCTTGCTTACTTGGTCGTACCGGGGATGTCGTGTGCTGCACGTGCGGAAGGGAGCGAACCTTAAAGTTGCATGTCATGTCTGTAGCACAGCTTAGGCTTTATCGTGTCGATATCAGAAGCTTGGTGCAGGTATGTTCATGAGTACATGTACCTCTTATGGGCGCTCTGGAAAGCCTGGAATCCAGCATGGGGACCGACAATGCCGGTTTGCTAGACCTGCTGCCGTGGTTAAGCTTTTCTACGTAGCTAGTAGATGCGTAAAGACCAGAATGTTTGGCCAGTAGTGAAAGTCACGCTGAATGTGATGTGGATGACTCAATTGATGAGAGGGGGAGAGAGAGTGCTCTAACCGTGAAGATATACCATGCATCTGTTCTACTTGTGCAGTGCTGAGTGTTCTCTCTGGCTATGAATTATTATTATTATTATACAGTGTTGCTAACTCCATATCCTTACAAGGAGAGCTATGTAACAAGGTCAGCTACGTCCTACTCGAGCACATGCACCCAAAGCCCAAACAGGCAGAGTACCTACAACTGGCTACTCCACCCACTCGCCCCATGGCCACCGGCGACGAACCCACAAGTTTACTTGCTTGCGCCTCAACGCCCAGCGCTCCCCGCGAATCAACAGGGAAGAGAGCTACGTCACTAGACCCTGATCTGCCCATAACCGTCTTGGCACCCTCCCTCCCCAAAAAAGCTTATTACCACGCGACACCCCCATCCCCATCCATTCCATCTCCACAGTAAGCTAACAGCTTCCTACCAACTCTACATACCTACCCCACAGCACCTCCAGGGCCCTTACTTACCGCACCTACAAGCCCGCTATCCAGCACTGGCACCATGTTCAAAGTACGCCCCCCCCCCCCCCCCCTCTTCTCCTCCTCTTTCCCACCACAGCTAACCCCCGCAGCGCTCCCCACCCCTCACCCTCCGCGCCCACCGCGCCACCTCCGTCGTCCTCACCCCGGGCGAACTGGTCGAGATCCGAGCAGCACAACGCACATTCGAGGGCGCCTACCTGCGCACGGCGCTGTCGCAGTTCAGCTTCGCGCTGGTGATCCTGAAGATCTTCACGCAGGAGTTCTACAGCATTGGCGCGCTGTTTGCGGTCTTTGGCGCGTTTATCCTGGGCGCGAGTATGCTGCGGCGCAGGAGCGGGAATAAGCAGTTCTTTAGAGACGGCGAGGGGGAGCGGGGGAAGAGGTTTAGGACTAGTGGGAATGTGGGTGCTTCTTTTCCTTTTGGGGTTGTGGGGAGGGGGATGGAGGGGGGAGGGGGGAGAGGGGAGGGAGGAGGGTTTTGGTTCTGGTTCTGGGAGGGTTTTGGGCTTTTTGGAGAGAGTGCTAATGATGGGATGTAGGTTGTGGCGTTGGTGACGGCGATTAGTGTTGCGGCATACTCGACGCTGCTGGTGCTGGTTTTGAGGTTAAGTTGAGAGGGTCTTTCGAGTTCTCCTTCTCTGTGTTTTGTGCTTTTATGTCTTTTTGTTCTTGTTTTATTGGCGGTCATGATTAGATGAATGGGAGACTCCAAGGGAAGGGAAGGGAACAGTAGGCCAAATCAAACCGGACCATGTATCCCCATGCGTAACGATGAAGTGCAACTTAACGGGCGTTTAATGGTATGGTATTGGTATTGGTAGCTGTGGCTTCTTCTTTTCTTTTCTTTTATGGTATTGCATTGTATATTATTCTGTAGCGTACGTACGTGTAGTCTAGGGATATCCTTCGATCGAGTCACTTATCATCTCTACTCGACGACATTGTTTCCCAGCTCGACATTTGTTCCCCTACTTGTACTCCCCTCACCTGAGCTCTCAGCTGGTAGCACAATCTTGGCACCCCGCCCCCCGACGACTCCCAGAATAATGCCTAGCTGCCAAGCTATAGTCCTCCGCCGACCGAATCAACGGGACACCTACCTCACACTGCACACATGTCTTCCTGTCCGATAGAGCACATCCGATAGATCCTCCGCGCGGCTTTCCCTATTCCCTCTTTCCCGCACCGCCGGCCAACCACTTGATCGTGGCCCAGAAAAAAAAAAAAAAAGCATCCTCCAAAACGGGGGTTACCGGGTTTCTTTGTTTCGCGGTAACTAACGTAGAGATACATGTAGCCAATCACCTAGCTCAAGGCTTAAAAAGGGTGTGTGCTGGACATGTGCACTTTTCCATTTCCATTTCCATTTCCATTTCCTTCCCTCCCTCCCTCCCGCCTGATGAACTGTCGTCGCCGGCCCCATCTCGCTGCTGCTGCTGCTGCTGTTTAAATAAGAGTGATCTATGACATGGGCGGCGGGGGGCCAAACGTCGGTTGGCATGGGCCCTGCGTCATTAGTTGGCCTGGGCCTGGCCGTAATAATTAGGGGAAAAAATGCTTGGACGGATGCTTAATGGAGCAACTACCGAAACCGCGGGGAACCCTGGCCTTAACTACTTCTATGTATCGACGAGCATCGTTCTGTCATCGATCCATGCTCTGGCTTACCATGACGTTTCCGAACACGACTAATATTGCATACCATACAAAAAAGCGCCAAATCCACCTTTTTGTATGTCATGCAATATTGGTCGTGTTCGGAAACGCTATGAAGCTACGAGTAGAGTACATATATGCACAAGCATATGTAAACGCCAGAGGTGGGGGGGAGAGAGTAAAAATCAAAGATCATTACTACTCTCGCCTGTCCGCGAATAGAAACTCCCCCAATAACTACAACCTTGTGAAAGTCTCGCATCGGCCGATTCCCTCAACCCGACCTAGCAGCTGCTCTGTCTAAGACTCGACAGAGCTACTTACTCTACATACTAATCTACGCACATACCGCAGATTAGAGTGATATAAAAAGCAGGCCCAGACCCCTCCCTTCTTCATTCTGCTCCCCGCCCCACCTTACAGCACGGCACAGCACACAACGAGCATTAACTGTAATGCTCGGCCTCCAGCTCCCACTTGCTCTCGCGGCGGCGGCAGCCGCCTACTTGACTTCCGTCCGCGTACTCCGATACCGCCGTGTCAACACAACCACCAAGAAGCTGGGCTATGAGGGCCTCACGTCCGCCCAGATCTATGACAAGATCACATTGACGGATGCCCAAACCGTGCAAACACAGCTTCTACTCCTCGAGTTCCCCAAGATCATGTATGTTTCACTTCAATTTGCGCTCTTCAAGGTAAGGAAGGTCCCTTGTCCGCGTCTCTCGAATCTAGCTAGCTATGGCCAGGGCTAAGAAACAAAACCCAACGGGGTACGTAGACATATGCCTTCCCTTTCATGAGCGCCATTCTCGTCAAGTCCGGGCAGCTCGCCACCACCAAGCCCGCTCCCAAACGCTACGTCGACACGGTCGTCCTCGTCGCCGAGTGGATGCGCTGGCCGCTCGACTCTGAGCGCGCCTCGCTCGCAATCGCCCGCACAAACTATCTGCACGCGCAATACGCGCAATACATCAAGCCCGATGACTTCCTCTACACGCTCATCCTCTTCGCCACGGAGCCGCTAATATTCATATCCAAGTACGAATGGCGGCAGCCCACGGAGCTCGAGAAGGCCTCGTTTTGGCGTTTCTGGTATGAGGTCGGCGTTAGGATGAATGTTCCGCCCGAGACGATCCCGAAGACGTGGGATGCGATGGCGCAGTTCGCGAGAGAATTCGATGAGAAGATGGAACCGGCGGAGAGCAATCACCAGGTTGGCGCCATCACGCTGGATATGCTGCTGTGGTGGTGCCCGGGCTTTGCGAAGGGGTTTGTGAGGATGTGTGTTTGCAGCGTGATGGGGGAGCCACTGAGGAAAGCTATGGTGTAAGGAAAATCCCAAACTTGACACACACCCCCCCCCCTCTCTCCCCTTCCAGAATATCAGCAAAGAAAACGGATGGGCTTGGATATATGTTGACATTTGGGACACAGTTTTCCCGAAGTTCATCCAGTAGTGCCACCTATCGTCAACACCGTCATTACTCTCCGCAGGTTCTACCTAAGGCACCTTAGTCTCCCGCGCATGAGGCCGTTGGAGAAGCTTAGTCCGAGTGTGAATCCGGCGACTGGGCGGTATAACATTGGCATCTATGACGTGGATCCATGGTACGTTTCCGCCGCCTACAGCAATAGCTTCTGGTCATGGTATGCGTGGGCAACAGGGAGGCCGTTTATCCAGAAGGGGAAGCATGATGAGGGCGGATACCGTATCGAGGAGGTGGGCCCGAAGGTATTCGAGGGCAAGGGTTTGGAGAAGGTGAAGAAAGATGCGGAGAAGATCAGGGAGATGGGCGTGGGCGCCGGCGGGGGCGGGGCTTGTCCCTTCAAGTTCTGAGAGGTTGAGTTATACAGCCAGTGGAATTGTGGATATGTTGTGTATGGTTGACCATGGGAGGACTGCGGGTAAGCAAATTATACTTAGTTATGTCTCGAGGTGTAGTTATGATTGGCCACGAATATAAGCTCTGATGTTGGTATAAACCTTTGTCCTACGTACCACCAGATTATGCACTATACCACATCCAAGAGAATCGAGAATCTTTATATATTGAGGCGGGAGGTTCCTTGCCTTTATATGATTATGAATTTTCCGCAGTCGGTTAATGTAGAGTATAGTAATCACAAGCTTTGGGTTAAGTGATAGGCAAGGTGAGGTAGCATTCAATCGATAATTCTTTACCAGCGCGCGCCTGGATTAAAGGCATGCCTGCCGGCCACGAGTCCGAGTCCGGAGTTTTTCTCATCTCGCACGATTTTGTGGAGTTTTGGGGCTTTCAGGCACATACGAGATGAAACATCTGGCTGGCTTGATTGATCAGGCGGTAATGGCACTAGCTGTGACTGGTCAGATTGCAGCTTGGTTATCTGGATTACAAGTAGTTGTTCCTCCAATGATGTATGAACGGGCAGAGGAGCACATATGCTGGCTGTGGAAAAAGGATTGTCTCGAACCATGGACTAAGAATGCATTCTGCGGTATGATATCATCATCAAGGTAGTTGTATTCAATGTTTTTCAGTTCGTGACTTGGCTCACGAGTATGCAAGGTTTGAAGAAGATCAGTTTGTTGAGATGATGTAGCTTCGTTCCTACTCAATGACAGTTCAGATGTGTATCGTCACGCCAACGAGTGTTAAAAGGACGTGAAAACATTATGTGGCTATAGCCGAGAGGATATAACCGACTGAAATAAAAAAAGAGCCACGACGCTAGTTTAAGAGGTGGTACCAGTGACCAGTCCGGAAGCAGTTGGCGGTGGCTGTCATCTGTATCATTGTGATACAACGCCCTTATATACGTGCAGGGCTTATTGCTAATATATTCTATCTTCGACAAGCTCAGTAATAAGTATGAGAGTCTCCCTCTATTTTACCTTGAAGGATGACTGGATTTTTGAGCACGCATTTCGGTGCTGTATATTATACACCGATTTAGATGTCTTATATCACATCATTATAGACAATGCACCCCAGAATGTCTTGAATTCAGCGTGATATCCTTTATATATTACTCCATCCTTACCTGGATACTAATCGCGGACGAATGGGACCGCTAGGTCCCAGGAAAATCACTCGCTCCGCGTTTCATATCCCAAGGCTTAAGTGCGATCAACGGCCTAGATATTTCTCTGGTTTGCCATGTCGAAATTCTTTACCACTATGACGTCTTGGAGCATTCATATTCATGCATTGACCCATCCCATAGAGCTTCTTCCTGGTGAGGGTTGTCGAGCATCAGGGCGGAATAAAGACGGCATCTCTAATATTGACAAATGTGTTTCCCCTTTACAATTGTTGTTGGATCGATGCAGGTTGTATGCTTATTAATGGTCTTGTTGTTGATGGAGTTCTTTAACGCCATGAATGGTCAAATACCGGTAGCTGAGAGCTGTGGTGCTGTAATACGTGCGGCCTGTCATCTAGATCTGGCAAAATGAGAGAACTGTGCTGGGAGGATCTGGAAGGATTCTTTAATGTGGGGTGCGGCGTTATTCCTTTACCAGTACAGTTTGTCTGTCTTACCCAAAACTCAGGGGCGTTATGACTATTCGAATATCTGACTAGGTCCACGACGAGAACGAGATGCCAAGATGGGAAAGCCTAGGCCTAGATACCAAGCGGGCTGAGTTGAAACTTTTGTATTTGAAATTGAATTCAAGGCAAAATTCTTTTTTTTTCCTCTCGTTTTGTTTTCTTTCTTTTGGCTATGTTTGATGACAGTTTGTTACCAGAGCCGGTTTCGGGTATGCGGAAGTATCTTTTTTTTTTTTTTTTTAATCAAGCTCTATTGTTTCTAGGTACAAAGAATCGCATAAAGTATAAACTATGGCGTAAAGACCTATCCCCGACCGGCTATTTTTCCACCTATAAAAAGACTTACGAAGACAAAAGAAAAATATGAGAGAGGGGAAAAATCCTTAATGGGGCCGCCGAGAACCTAGTCTCCTGGAGGT